TGGTCTAGATGAAGCTGTGTGAATTGTCCTGAGATTACTATTATTACTATAATAAATCTTTTCAAATCAGCCGATGTTTATTTTTGCCATAATACGTGCTGTTACCATGTGATAATATTACGTACGTACTTATTAAACTATTAACTTATTATTAAATTGTTTGTAACGGTCTGGGTGTTTTCTATGTATAGATAATATATATGTATTTACGAAAAAATCTTTGTATTTATATCAGTACCCATAACATAATCTTCAGCTAGCTTAACTTGGGTCTAGATGAAGCTGTATGAATTGTCCTGAGATTACTATTATTATTAATTGGTACACAGGTAAACTACTAACTAGGCCATATTGGTGTTGTTTGTTATGGTGAAAAAACTAGTAGGTATATATATAAGTTACACGTACAATTTCAAAGACTTATTTCTTGAAAACTACTGGCTATTCTGAAATAAAACTTTAGTGTTTGTATATGTAATGTTTGCATATAAAATATGATTAAAGGTTACCAGTGTATTTACACTTTTACTGAACAAACAGAGTTGTTTAATACTGAAAATATTGTGTGGAAGGCATCAATTACTTTCAGTGCATGTATAGCTTTTCTCTTTTCCTAATTATTATTATTATTAAGTTTAAAGTGGTTGAATTTTACGTAAGGGGTTTTTATTCATTATTTCTAATGTACCATTTATTTTAAGTTTTTTAAACTCTATTCATCGAGACCTATCTAATGAGTCCAAACACGATATTTCTGCTGTAAGTTTTCGAAGAGTATGTTCATCATCTGATAATACTGGTGCCAGCATGAAGTCAAGGTTAACAGATAACTAATTACTTTTATTTCGTCAAAATCTTTAGATTACGTATAATAAATTCATAATATCGCTACCTATTCAAATCAAAACAAGTATTAGGTACTTCATGTACTAGTATATAAATTCATCAACACACAAGTAAATGATTTTTAAATATATTCAGAGCCAAAAAATCTTTGTGCATTTAAAAAAAATGCCGATACGGATTCACTATTGCAGGAAATTGTTGAAAAAATATATATCGAGTATAAGTATCTACTACTATCGACGAATACATTTGGCAACAACGCATGGTCTCGGCCGGAACGGCAACATCGCATATTAGAATACAAAGATAGTGATAGAAAGAGAGAGACAGTGGATCAGCAATATCTACGGATCGTGGCTGGATCAACTAAGTGTGCAAGTGTATATAAATATATATATATATATATATATATATATATACATTTGTCTTTAATTCAAAGGAAATATAAATAATGAACGCATCACATTTAAAACAGTATAAATAGTTAATAATTTAATAATAAGTTAATAGTTTAATAAGTACGTACGTAATATTATCACATGGTAACAGCACGTATTATGGCAAAAATAAACATCGGCTGATTTGAAAAGATTTATTATAGTAATAATAGTAATCTCAGGACAATTCACACAGCTTCATCTAGACCAAAGTTAAGCTAGCTGAAGATTATGTTATGGGTACTGATATAAATACAAAGATTTTTTTTTCGTAAATACATATATATTATCTATACATAGAAAACACCCAGACCGTTACAAACAATCATACTCATGAATACAAATGTTTGCAGCGTGCGAGGAATCGAACCCTCGACCACCAAGCAGGAATCAAAGCAGTGTGCTAGCTAAATCGCTAGACTACCGACAACTAGCTGTACACGCGACTTCGTCCGCGTGGAATTTAACTTCTTATATTTTAGAAAAATAAAGTTAAATTCAACACGGACGAAATCGTACAGCTAGTCATCAATAAAAAAACACGTAGGTATCTCTAATATATTATACACTAGCTGTTCCCGCGACTTCGTCCACGTGGTTTTTAACTTTATTTTTCTAAAATAAAAGTAGCCTAAGTTACTCCTTATTACATCAGCTACCTGCCAAAAAAAGTCCCGTCAAAATCGGTCCAGCCATTTCAGAGATTAGCCGGAACAAACAGACAGACAGACAAAAATTGTAAAATATGTTATTTTGGTGTATGTACCGTATTTATATTCATATGCAAGTAGTAAAAAATGGTTATTTCAATATTACAAACAACAGGCTTCAACATTCTCAAGTACCACAAAAAAGACGTTTTTATTAAAAACAAGGTGTTCCCGCGACTTCGTCCACATGGAATTTAACTTTATTTTTCACAAATAAAAGTAGCCAAGTTACTCCTTATAAATCAACTACCGGCCAACAAAAGTCCCGTCAAAATCGGTCCAGCCATTTCAGAGATTAGCCGGAACAAACAGACAGACAGACAGACAGACTAAAATTATAAAAATAGTTATTTTGGTATATGTACCTTATATATATTCATATGCATGTAATAAAAACGGTTGTTTTCAATATTACAAACAGACACTCCAATTTTTATTAAATGTATAGATGTATAGATTATTATTTATTTATTTATTCATCCAAAATAATACAAATTGTGTAGGATAACGTAATAGTAACATTACAGTAAAATTTTGTAAATAACATAATAGCAACTTAAACATTAAATCTCGGTATATCTATAGACTAGCTGGCCCCAGCGACTTCGTCCGCGTGAAATTTTATTTTATTTTTCTAAAATAACAGTAGCGTAAGTTACTCCTTATTACATCAGCTACTTGCCAAAAAAAGTCCCGTCAAAATCGATCCAGCTATTTCAGAGATTAGCCGCAACAAACAGACAGACAGACAGACTGTACTATGCTATACTATGTATTGATTGATATACCTAAAATAAATATAATATCTGAGGTTTGAACAAAAACTCAAATGGTAATTTATTTTGAAAAAGTATTTTGAAAATACCTATTTTGCTTTTAGTGTTATAGTACTTTAACTGTTATGTTTTAAGTAACAATGTTTAATTATAATTAATACTACTGCACCAACACTCCGATCGTGCAAAAAATTTAGCTGTTTCATTATTTTTTAGTTCAATTAGTGGTCTACCTAAGTCCTGGGCTAAGGGGGGGGGGAGAGTCATGACCCCCCATGACTCCCAAGACCTTAATGACGCTCCCCCTGGATCCGCCGTTACGTCTTCTCTTCATTCGCTCAGTAACGTTGTTACAAAAGGAAAAATTCCCGTCCAAAAAATAACAAGTATTGAGGTTTGATCTGGAGTCACGTTACTCCAGACTGATTTCTATAAATATTTAGATTAGGTAGACTATTATTTTTGAAATACTAGCTAGACATTATTAAGTTACTGTAGCCATAATGTAGTAGCCCAAACGTGCCAATGAGGAAGCCCTTGGCAAATGCTGCACCCTGATTGGCCCGTTTGAATTGGATCAAGAACTGCTCGTATGCCAAAAAGGTGGATTTGTATAAAATCGTGTATAAATCGCTTAATTATTATTATTACTCGTCGTGACAGTTGTGGCTCAAAACGGATCAACATTTATATATGGTCATCTATATCAACAAAAGGCCTCCGGATCAACAACTCAAAAAGGATCAACAAAAAACTACCTATACGGCACCTCTGAGCCACAAAGTGCCCAAGGGGATATTTATATATATATATATATATATATATATATATATATATATATATATATAGATTAAAGATATTTTACATTGAAATTAGAAAAATAAGTCAAATACTATATCTAGACAAGTAGAGATAAAGTATAGAAAAATGGAAAGAAAATCGATACGTCTTATTTAATAATAATAATAATTTTATAAAAATTATTATTCAGTATAATATTTGTCTATGACACATATAATGTGTGCGAAATAATGTTGTATTAAAAATACATATCATAATATAACATGAATATTATTATTAATCTATATCTACTAATGCTACAAACCTAAAGAGGTTGTATAGTTGTAGGTACGTCCTAAGTTCAGGAACGTTTTGGTAATGATTGAAAAATATTTTTTGTCACTATATGTACCTACAACATATCTCACTTATCGATAAAAGTATAGGTAACGTCGCGCTGCAACTAATAGGGGGCTGAGCATTAATGAAAATAATGAAAAAACGGGGAAATCTCTCGTTTATGTGACGTGGACAAAGCTTAGTGCCCTAAAAAGATATAAATGTCGATGAAAAATGAATTTCAGAGTGAGACTACGTCACAATCACGTACATCTTACGTGCTTATAAATAACGATGGCTATTAGAGAACGAATACGATACAGGGCTAGGTACCAGGGCGTGGTATTACAAATCATTTTCTTTGTGAAAATATAAGATTGTTAAAAGAAAATCTTAAATAACCAGTAGTGAGCTAGTCATAGAAGTCAGCTGAACAGCATTGTACCCATCTTGTTATGTCATATCTCTGCAATTTACAATTTAGCAAGAATAGACATTTACCAACTTTAAACTGCAGGTTCAGGTCCAATCCAATTGTTAGAGAAAATTATGACGTTTTACCCCACACTGTATTTTAATTAAAAAGTATAAACAAATTGATATTTCTGTACCCATAAGCAACAGTAATATACTATATTGTAATACACATAAAGATATGACTATAATATTTATGGATATTACAATATATGAATACATTGTTAAATATTTTTAACTATGAACAGTGTATCATTTTTGTAAATTTGAATAATCGAATAGTATTTTCTAAATTATTATTTAAAATATTCTCCTACTAGTATTCCTCCAAAGGCACAATCTGAATCATAATCTTAATCTAATATCTATTATAAACGCGAAAATTTGTAAGTATTGATGTTTTCACGCAAAAACTACTGATCGGATTTTGATGAAACTTTATAATAATATAGCTTGCTTATACATCCGAATATCACATAGGCTATATTTTTTTATTGAAATTTAACTCAGGTGAAAACGCGGGCACAGCTAGTATTCTATATATATTATGTGTAATTTCTTGGTAATCAAATAATTACATACGTCATATACAGTATAAATAAATATTTAATAAAATATTGAACGTAAGAAGTACTCACTTGTACGGATCTTGTAGTTCTTCTGTCACAAAATTAAGATAATTCCAGCCTCCAAAAGCGAAAAGTCCAGAATAGAATGCCAGAGCGATGTTCCCCGCACTATACTCGCCTTCGAACGAACGCTCGAAATTCTCCGTGTGACCTAAAATATTGCATTAACATTTATAAAATCACAATTACACGCGCACTATGTATTACCAACAAGGTTGTTCCCAGAGATTAACAGAAATAAAATGGAATTCATAAATTGCATGATCAGTGCCTAGGTGAGATTTCTAAGAAATATTAATTCTCCACAGAACTAGAAAATAAAAAGGATTTATGTCTATCTATTTTCTGCCCCCGCATAGTAATTACCCAATTCATTTCAATGGCTTTTACAGTTGTTCAGTTACAATTATAGTTAGCTAATTCGTTTTAAAGTTTCTTTTCAACAGAAGAGCTTGCGGCATTCAATCTCTATGGCACCATAAGTACACCAGTACCACCTGCAATTACCCTTGTAGGTGGTATCGTTTTTCGTGGTTCTTATATAGGTACCACTGTTAGAAGTTAAAGATCTATTCTTGATTTTTAAGTAAAAGTTTTAAACAATTTACATATACTTATTATTACTATTGCCATATCATATACCTATTATTACTATTGGCATATCAACTTTTAATTAAATTGACGTTAACAGATTTAATACAGCTATCTGTTTTAAGATTGAATCTCGAAAAACATTCTTAATGAATTCATTAGATACTCTTTCACATAAATACTTATCAATGATAAGTTAATATAAATTAATACCTAAACTTGTTAATCACTATATCAAAATAAAAACTACAATATAATTAATTTCTTGTTTAAGTTTGATCTACCTATAGCTAATATATGAACATTAAAATCTTATCAATTGATTCCGCGTCGCATGCAAGAGAACAGTAGAGCTTTCTCGAAACAACCTAATTAATGTGTAATTTATTACCGTACAGTTTCTTATTCAATAACTCGTTGATAGCAACAAATTTATATGGAGTAACTACACTAGGCACATTAATACAATCATCAAATTGTGTACATAAATTGGTCATAATTAAGAATGTACTGTAAGACTGTGACTTTAAACTCTTCTTCAAGTTGAAGCAATTTAATACGTATAATATAAATACCACATACTAGCTTTCTTTCAGATTCGTCCACATTATTATTATAATTCTATATTTTAACAGAGAACCCGAAATTTCTGTGACATCGTAACTCCTAAAGGAATAGACCGATTATGATGTATTTTTTTTATTTAAGAGCTGATTTGATCGTGAAATTCTGAGCTACAATTTATGAAGATCTATTCAGGAGTTTAAGGTAATCAGCTCTTTTGGTTAGCTGCGATAGGGATATTAGACTCATAATGAGTACACTTTTATACTTATTTTAGTTTTTTCCATGTCGAGTTATTTTCCATGTTCTAATTTTGTATAAAAAGAGTCTATTTTGAATCTTAAAACTAAATTCCACACAGTTATTTATATAGTAGGTAACGTACATAGGTACTTACGATTTTTTTATGACATCATATGTCTGTTATTGGGCTTTATTCTCTCTCAAACAATAAGTGTGATTGTATAGCACTATTACCATTGTAATTAAAATTTGTTCCGCTTGACGACAGAGCCATATAAAAAATTGGTACTATTCCGTTTAGTGATTACAGCTAACATTACTGGACCTCACTAATTGAATATGCTTATAGCCTTGAACATAACACAATGTCAAATCTACCACCCATTATCATAGACATTCTCAAAACTCTATCTAATGACTCAATCAACATTTAGTCCAAATCTAAGCTTGTATTATCGGTACTGTACAAGGAATAGAAATACGTAAATATACATATACCTATATATATATATATATATTGTAAATACAAACATATTATACATAGACAACATCCAAACTATTACAAACAATCATACTCAAGAATACAAATGTTTATATCGTGTGGTGAATAGAACCTGCGCCTATCGGAAGTAAGGCAATGCGCTAAACCTATGGACCACCTAGGTCATGGAATAGGTATTATAAAAGATAGGTAGGTTATTAATTGCAAAATACCGAAATACCACTAGCGATGATCCGATACAGATAAATAATCAATAACGAAACGAAAGAACCTATTCAAAAAACATTTGTATTCACCAAGGTTGTTCGTTCACTTACCTATACAAATATAATAAATTCCCGATATGATGATGACCACCAACGCCAACAATTTAGATGTTGTGAACACATCCTGAATCCGCATAGTCCATCTCACACTGATGCAGTTGATTGCAGTCAAAATGGCTGAAATATAACCTAAATATTATAATGTGTACACATTGACGAAAAATTATTAGAATTTATTAAACCCAAAGTGGGTTCCTTACGCTGTGTATTTCAGTATCGTAATCACTCAGATTATATTTTGAAAACTGAAGACTCTTTAGTCTTCACTCTCACCTATTTCACCCACCAAGCAGTGTGCTATGTAAGCTATGTTTCGGGTATAGATTAGGCAGTAAAATTATAGGAGAAGAGACATGAGGCCTCAATGCATGAGTATCACGGGTAACATATGGTAACGTGATATCCGTAGTCCTCTTCATATATACTCGTATGATATTGTACCGACGTGTATTAAGTAAAACAGACTACCATCACGTACCTAATGTAATGTAATAAAACATAATATATTACAGAAGTATAAAGTATAGCTTAAACTGATAGATACATCTCCATTGTAACCTTATATTATATAATCCATTTTATCTTAATATCTAATAATTAGGTACGTTAGCAATCGTAAACCATGTGATAATCTCCTTCGAATGACTTGCTTATTATGTACAATAAATGGAGATTTTCGGATATGGTCCACTGGATAAAATTTATAATAGCTAGACGATGATATTGACAATCAAGAGTAATGTTTACTGTCTGTCTGATAAAACGTCATACACATAAAACAGTACTATTAACTTTCACTAAAATGACTTTGCCCGTTATATAATTCCATCGATACAAAAGTCATAGGATATGTATATCGTGTGTATATTAAATCGAGGATTTAATTTATTTTTCTGAATATACTTCCCTAAAAGTAGTGTTCAGTACTTCTGTCTAACCTATTTCAGCCGCCAAACACTTTCAGTTATGGTTGAAGATAAGACGGTTCAATTAAAGGACATAGGGGCATGATATGATCGTGTAGGACTACGCATGAATATTATGTCACTTAATAATATAATGTACATAGTGTTCTTCATGTATATACGCGATGATGGCCAGTTAACGCCAGCCTGTTTACCTAGTTTGCAAAAAATGTCAAATCAGTAATAATCGAACAAACAAATTATATATCCAGTTTAGAAAATGAAATTAAATCAGTACAATAAACTAAACATAACAATCCGTAAAATAAACTAAACATGACATAATTTGTCAAAAGAACAATCGGAACATCTCTTGGAAAATTCTTAAACTATAATTATGGTACATCAATCTGTTAGATTAACAATGTTATCTACAGATAACAATGCTAATAGAAAACGCTGAACGCATTTCAGTTAACTTATAATAACGGAAGTTTATGTCTCAACGTCTTAACGAATAAGATGAAGATAAGTACAGTTACTTAAGTTAAGGATAGGTTTGTAAATTGGCCTAGAATTAAATTATATAGGTTGTTAATTTTTAACACCTGTTTATATTTCTTTGTTCTGTTGCATATTATATTCTGTTATGTACAATTGTAATTTAAAGTAGAAAACTTTATTTAATACTAAAAGTCAAAGCTAATTCATAGGAAAGTACAAACATAGGACCTTTATGGCCGATTATACTCGCCTGTTTTTTATTAGCAGATCTACTGATTTCATTGCTATTAACCATCATAAATCCATCTATTAACATAATATCTAAAATCATATACAATATACATTCATAATATCAGTTCATAAAAAAAAATTCAACATAGACAAAATCAAATAATTAAATATCGCACTAGCATTTACAATACAAATGAAAGTCAGACTTGAGAAACGTCTTGGTTTAATAAATAGGGTTTATTTTCCGTTAGAGAGACTTCCTCTCTCATCTCAAATAATTGGGTTAAGTGGAGACGTCCGCCTAACATCGATCTCAACTCCACTGAGACGCAGCGCAATCAAAGGAAATTATCCGTCAGCCATTATTCGAATTCATTCCTTTTGCAGCAACGAAAATTGTTAATAAAATACAAAAGATTAATAAAAATATTTATTAGTCGCCAGTCCCTATTACTACAACCACAGATAACATAAGTCTTATTACTACTAACGCTGTATAGTAAAAAAAATACTATTATAAGACATCGTAAATATTTTTTATTTAGTCTTTAACTTTTACTCAAATATAGAAATTATCCTCACCTTTAAATTTGATTCATTATAAATTATTATTACAACTAGCTGTTTTTGTTTGACAAAAGATAGCCTATTCTTGACAATCCGATCTCATGATACAATAATCTATTTTCACGTAAAATTTTATTCGACCCTCTTTGTAATGTAAATTGAAACGCGCAATAACACTTGGGCATGCTTAATAACGCTAGTATGGGTATAAATACATAACATAAATGTTCTACATCTATCAATTTTATTAAACACATTAGGCATTTAGTATCGTAAAAACACAGAGACTTAAATGAGTATGAAAGCTACATGGGATTAAACTTTAAAATAACATAACTATTTGTTTGTTATAGGTACCTACAAAAAAAGTCGCTCTTATATACGCTTATATAAATCACACTCTAATACTAATACGGTTTTCATTATCGTTTCGAGAATTACTTTCTAAAGGTTAATAATACATGCATACTCGCACCTATCCAATACAGCGCATTCACTGTACTCCCTAATACTTAGAGGTACCTGCACAAAAAATCAAATCCAACGCAAGTCGCATACGCATATCGAATAAATAATATATATAGGTTTTTTTCTTTATAAATTGTTGTTTGCTAGTAGCGTAAACGTATTAATTGTGCTTAGCTTCACACAAAACATGTCAATAGAATTAAGAAGCTCCCATTTGTAATTGGTTCAAAAGGCAAACGAACTAAAAGTTCTAATAGGTTTCCTAATTATTTACCCATTTACTATTCCTTTTTAAACTGTGATATCTGAGTCGTTGCTCCTAATTACTAAATCAACTTATGTTCACAAACGATTTCGCAAACATCTTATGAATGGTTTCTTACTGAACTAAAGTATATTAAATCATATGTTAATGTTACGTTTAGGTTATTAAAAAATGTAATGTTAAAAATATACTTATTAATAATACACAATACTTAATAATAATATACAAACATTTAACATAATAATAAAATTAAACATTAACATAATAATATAATAAATAAAATGAAAAGTAGCTTATACATTTTATAATTTTGATTCAAGATGAATTTACATCTCATAGAATGAATAACATACCTGGCCGGTTTTGCCTTTGATAATACCCTAAATAGACGAAACCGGTCCACTAAATCTAAAATAAAAACAGATTGTGCGGAATAGCTATATATATATTGTGATTGTATAAGACATACTTGAGTAAAAGTATATTACTTGTATGGTATCTACTCTATATTATACTAATCTATATTGTGTATATTTTTATAACATAACTAGCTGCGCCGGCGACTTCGTCCGCGTGGAATTCAACTTTATTATCCTAAATTAAAATATTTCTAAAATAAAAGTAGCGTAAGTTATTCCTTATTACATCAGCTACCTGCCAATAAAAGTCCCGTCAAAATCGGTCCAGCCATTTCGGAGATTAGCCGAAACCGACCGATAGACAAAAAATGTTCTTTTGGTGTACGTACTGTATTTATATTCATAAGCATGTAGTAAAAAAAGGTTATTTCAATATTACAAACAGACACTCCAATTTTATTTATATGTATAGACTGGATGATGCGTGAATGCGCGGGATTCGGGAGACCTGCCGGTCGTTGTTGCTAATTTTGTTACGGTCAAGGTTTTCTTTTGGGTGTAGTCCTGCTTAACATGTTTCTTTTAATACGAAACCATAGCATTTAGATAAATTTCTATTATAAGAGTGAAAATACGAAATCTAAACCTAAAACTTTTTGTATACCAAATTGACATGTAGCAACAATTTGTATTAGAATAATTATAAACAAAATAGATATACATAATAGGAATAGACTAGGGTAACAAAGCTTGTCACATCTAGGCAAGAAAAGAAAAACCCGAAATAAAACTACCTATACCAAGTCGCCTGGCCAAGTTAGCAGTTATAGGCTAATAACCTTCTATTCGGCACGTTGTTGTTATGGTAATAAAAATTATTCTATATGAACTTGTTTGTCCCTACCTAATGAAAACAAGTTTCTTGAAAGCTTCTCAAACGGTCTACCGCATTATTGCTTCATCAAGAGGCGTTCAACTCGTACATCGCAAACAAGACCGCACCTATACATGCAAATTGGATCGCTTGCCCCTAGAATAAGATTTTATACAAGAAAAAGTCTTCAATCATAAAAAAAAGAATATCCCTATTCCCGAATAGCCAATACGCAAACTTTATACTTAATTTTGTTACATACTCTCTTTGGTACATTTGCCTTTAGTTACAATAATGTAGGTACCTACTTTTGCGTGTAATAATTATAACTTACTATTAAAATAATGTTCCAATTTGACAGCGTTTTTTGTAATTATACGCAAATCACGAAACAAAAAATCTGTCATTCTTAGTTGATAGAATCAAAGCTAACATTGATTCCCGTAAACTAAAAAAAAATTGCATATTGTTTTTGCAATTCTTTTCATATAGTTTACTTTTAGCTATTGAAACATTTAAACATATTAACACACTAACTGTGCCCTCGACTTCATTTGCGAGTACATTTGTAAACACCACCTATTTGAAATGATAACAATACAGAAAACTAAATCACCTATTTAGGATATATTTTGAGGGTATTTTTCTCAGCTTTCATTAATCTTTCTTATAAATTAACAAATATTCAATGTAATCAATCTTATAATTAACATATCTGTGAAATACATCCTAATTAATTTAGCTCTCATTACGGGAAACTTAGACAAAGAGTTTCCCCCTCTCTCGTCTTACAACTTTATTATATGTAAAGGAAATATGAACTGAGCACCAGACATACAAACAATCCACAATAATAACTTTCTTGTATTAACTGGAGCAAACGGATCTACCTATCCACACTTTCACAATAAGGGAAGCCGACGATTGCCCGTCAAAACATCATTGTTAACTCTCACTGTAAGGAACATGGACCATTCCCAGAGCGTCATAACAAGTTTATTAAGTTAGTATCAATTATAGTAGATTGCCATAAGACCTATTTATAGACCTATTTAATAGATATTGGCCGCCTCTCAAATTTCCTGGTGTCAGAAGTCAATTCATCTGTGTCTGAGACGAGTAAGCCATTAAGTCAATGTTATGTATATTAACTATTGAAATTACAAACAAAAATCAATTTTTTAAGATATTAATTATATTCACATAAATACATAAATTTAATAATAGATATTATTATGGAATTTACAGTTATATAAAACTGGATCAGTGTTTTAATTATGTATACAAAACAATTTTAAAAATAAACATGCAGGTATCATATTTGAGTCATGTACGTATATACATAATAATATTGTCTCAAATAATAAACTATTACAATTGCTGCTTACAGTAAAATTTAGAAGTATTAAGCGAGACAGAACAAAACTGTCTATAACTCATATATACTCGTATCAATTGATCATATATCGAATTAATAGAAAGTAATTTATACTATCTAATATCCGATAGGCTGTGTTACGTGCTTGTATAAATAGACTACCGGTCACAAACATGATTATTTATAACTTCTGAGAAAGTATCATAAAATTAAAAAAATAAATTAAAATCATATATAAATCAAGAAATATCTGTGCTATTATATAGTCCTAAGCCTTATAGGCCTTATATTATGAGTACTAAAAAACTGTTAAGCACGTGACAAAATAACAAATAAACATTTTATTTATTTGAAGACAACAAAAACCTTTAGTAACTAAATCACCCAGGTCAATGTTTGTACGTTGCCATTATTTTTACCAAACTGGCGACCATTATAATATGCAGTACCTATGCTACAATTGCATCGTTATTAATTCGTACCTATGCTTGAATTTCCTTTCCTCTTCTTTCGAGTCAATGTCAACTAAATTTATTTTTAAGAGAATTTTCTTTGCAGACATATAAATATGTAAAAAACATAAAATACTTTGTAATAAAACAGGTTTCTGCATATATACCTATTACCTTCTCGTAATAAGAATAATTCAACAGTTAATACGTTGTTTACTGACCATAATGGTCAAATGTATATTCATGATGCAATTCTTATAATACTTTTATAAAGTAGATACGTCTTTTGTAAAACAGCTTTAGTGCACTATAAATATATATCAATATATACCTACATAAATAGTAACTAGATCAACTTGCAATTATGATGATTAGACAGGTCTAGTCGCGTCATTCGGCATTACTAGCAGATTTTGTAAGGGCCATGTTTTTGTATAACATCATATATATATGTACCCAAAATCTATTGCAAATAAATTTATTATTATTATTACTAAGCTAGTTCTACATACATACATCAAAATAAAGTATGTATATTATTTATTTATTTATTTAATTATATGAGGCCGTCGTGTGTTCTAGCGGTTTGACACACCGGTTTACTTCCGTAGATAGTGGGTAAGTTTCCTCACAAGATACAAACATTTGTATTCGTGAGTTTGACTGTTTGTGTTGGTCTGGGTATTATATTGTGTATTCAATGTACACAAGGTTCATATGGCGATCATTCATCAACAGAAATAATTTCAAAGAATGTTTAAACGAATAATTCGTTAATTGTTTGAAATACTCGTGTGAAGCAAATTTATAAATGTGAAAAACTTGTTGATATCCTAATCTATATGATATCTATCTACATATAATAATGTTGTTCTTTAAAACAAACTGATCACACATTTGTGCAACTACTCCATATTAGTCGACTACCTTATCGATTTCAGAGTCGAATTTATAATTCTCAGCATGCCTCTCCAGCAATTGTATTTACCAGCCTAACTACAAACTGTACTCATAATAGCGTATTTACTTAAAACAAACTTCGGAGTAGGTATTTGTTTTCAGTTTTTCATCCATTGTCAACTTTTAAATTATTTTAGCGGTGGGTAATTCCCACTAAAAACATTATTTCAAAACGATTACGAAGTTAGACGATTTAAGCTATCTTTGAAGCTTAATTCAAAGGTTGCCTAAATCTCTACAAGTCAATGCTAACAGCAATAACTGAGATTTAGTTATTGGTTTAAGACAGTCATGTATGTGCTATGTTATATAGAAAATAGCAAACTAAAGAAGCAAATCATCAAGATTAAACTCGCAAAATTTATTTAATAGTAATGAAATAATAAATAATGTCGTAAGTTGTATCCCTATTGCCATCTTCAAGTTTCATCACAACTTATTTTCACAATATTATTTGTTACGATAACATAAGATTCATCTAAGCAGAAAATTACAAATAATTATATTGTTAATATTGAAAATGAAGATATAAAAATGCACATGGTTTAAATGCCAGCAATTGCTAGAGAATTAATTACAAATTGGATAAAAGTATATAATAAAAAAATATTTATGTACTCTCTACTCTCAAATAATACTCACATAAACATATGGCAGCTAGAAGTCTAACAGCATTTTGTGGCGGGTCACATTCAGGGTAAAACGGCTTGACAACGTAGTGCCCGAATGTCAGTGCCACTATGGCTTGCGTGGTCGGTCTAATGATGAGCAACGCAATCCAAAGTCGGAGAAATGCTGGAAGTGGACCAAAGGCAGCATAGATATATGCATAGTCTCCTCCTGACCTGGTAATGGAGGTGCCAAGCTCTGCATAGCATAGAGCTCCTAACGTAGACAGGAGACCGCACGTGAGCCATATTAATAGAGACGCAGCAACTGATCTGTTAACAAAAAAAATTATAATAATAATCTCAGAACAACTCACACAGCGCCATCGTCACAAGTCAAGCTAGCTAGAGCTTGTGTTATGGGTACTAGACAACTGATATATTTTTTTTTCATAAATACATACATTCTATATATGGAAAACACCCAGAACGATAGAAACAATCATAGTCATTAATACAAATGTTTGTACCGTACGAGGAATCGAACCCGCGACCATCGGAAATAAACCGGTGTGCTAAACCGCTAGACTATAGAGACCATCTAAAATTACTAGTATATAACGCTGAATAAATTGTGGTGAACACAACAACGCTTCATTTCATACTGAATGACATTTATGTTAAATTATTTTAATTTCACACTACTTTTTGTTATTTAGAAGTTTCTACTCGTAACTTAACCGTGTAATCGTGATGTAATTTTTTGCTATTGGTATTTTCTAATTTGTATGTTCTTTAAATATTGGTGCCAAAGTATTAAAACAGATAAATATATTTTTGATCAGTTTAAAAGTAGACTAATCGATTTTAGAAAATAATATCTGTATGGAAGTATTAAACCACTTTTGTATTTGTTTTGTCTCATTAGTAAAATAAGTTTATTTTGTTCATTTTTATTTAAAAGAATATCGATATATTTCTTAGGCTTTATATGGTTATAAACGCTGAAAGGACAAAACAACTGACAGTTCTCCAGATGGAATGTGATAAGCGTGGACTAAAGAATTAAAATTGCTCAAAATAACGGGTCAAAAGTTACTAGATTGAAAAAAACATCCGCACATATTTATCATAACATTTGATTAATTCTAAACTAATAATGTATAAAAATAATTAAACTTTCGTCTCGGAAGTCGCGCCAACCAATATAAAACCCGCTGATATTGCAAGGATAATGGCACGAACCAGTCAAGCAGGAACTGGAACGAATGCTTATGGTAGTCTTACAACAAGCTGGCGATATCCAAACTACAAGTGTTTGCATATTAACTGGTGATTTTTAGCAAGCCAGGATGTATGCAAGCATCATAAAGGTCAACCACTGGAAATAGATATGTGTTCATTCTATTACCTTGTAGTTAAGACTCTAGATCTGTGGGGGCCAAAGGCTTGAACATTTTTTAAGGAGATATTTCATCGGTCGATAGAAACATCTGGTGACCAGAAGGCTGGTCTGTAACTACGCCAACGGAAAGTCTTTACGATAAGATTAAGAAACCTTCTATTACTAAATACATATTTAGTAATAGAAGGTTTCATATTTAGTATAATATATCTAATTATAGGTTTATAATTAGATATATTATACAATTCGTTTATTATAATTTGTTTCGAAACCGACCCTCATACAGTAGAATGTCCATTAAAGTAACCGATCATTACTTTATATTATTTTTATGTGATAACTGTATAAGGTAAATACACCTGAAAGGTTCTTTCTTATTTTCTAATACCTAAATGAAACAGGTTTTACTTCAATGTTTGGTTATGAACACAACAATGTAATGTTGTGTTAATTACCGTACGTTTAAGGAAATCCTGTTTTATTTAGGAAACCTAAGAATACACATATCCTTAGTGTATCCGTAACATATAAAGATCACTTTTCTGCCTTTTTTACATTTTAATTCCAAGTAGTTAGTATAGCTATTGAGAACAGGAAATTTATAGACTACATTGTCTACGTCATTATAGAAATTTCCTAGAATTATTTTAAAAAGAATCATCGTAACCGTAAAATATACACAAAAAGAGATACAGTCTAACCGCTACTTCGGCCTTGGTGGTAAGACCACAGAACAAAAAATTGCCTACCACTAAACGATCGACGCAGTAGCATTGTAGGTAATAGATTTTAGACAGAAAAAATTGTTATACATATTATTTTTTATTAGGTATATACTAGACATAAAAGACGCAATGTATTTATGTGTTTGTGTCAGCTTTACTTTGTTTGGGACTATGTCATGTCATTTATTTGGAAATATTTCATCCTGTATTTCAACCCAGAATAGGTTCTTTATACAGAACAAAAATATCTTCTGACTTCTTATAAAAAATCATTAACACCTGTCTAGCAATTTAGATGTAAAAAGCCAAAAAAATATTACGCATGTATAATGTATAAATAGAATGATATATTTGGGAACTCTAATCTAAGGAATTGATAAATGCAAAGTACGAATACTGGTTTCGTAAATGCATATTCATGCAATTGCAAAATATAAGAATGCATACCTACTCATTTAGCAACTGTAATATCTACATAATAATATCATAACTTCTAAAGTTGTCTGTTTATTTATAAATGTCCTCTTGTAGTGTCATGACACAATTATTGACCACCTACTACACTATAGAAACTGGTTTATTTTAATCTACTCATAGAGAAAAGGGTGCGAGTTAATGACCCGCCTGATGGAAAGTGTTAACCTTCGCACATAACATTATGTAACGCCATGCTTGTACTCGTACTTTTACGTAAAATATATTCAGTACTAGTTGCTACCCGTAACATTGTGCGCGTTGATAATAACTTTTTTTTTAAATTAAATGAAATAAAATATGTCAAATAAAAGTTGCCTAAATCACTCCTTTTATCATTAGCTCTTTGGGAGTAAAAATCGCGTCAAAATCGGTCCAGCCGTTCCAAAGATTAGCAAGAATATACAGACAGACATACAAATTAGATTTTAATAAAAATTTTGATGTAGGAACCATATTCCTTCATCTGCATTTAGAGTAAAACTCTTAAGTTGAAATTACAAACAGACGTTTCAAATTTATAGGTTTGTATAGATTAAATTGACTCTTTTTTCACCTACTTATACTACGTACTTCTATAAAATATTAATTACGCAACGGAGTTCGGGATTGTTTTCGATATTATTTCATAAATGTCCGCGTAATAAATATAGGTACATGCATATATTCAAAGGGATATATTATATTAATGTACGAACAGTGAAACTTACTCTATAACCCGTACAAGACGCTAGTTCACTAGTTTTAATATATTATATTTGTGTAATAAACATAAAAATATAAATGATATAGAGATCGAATTATATTGGATCTGTTTTCCACGTTGTTAACAATTAACACTATTAGGTCTATCTAAAACCGTTATGGTTATGTCCCGATATTTTCCACAGCACGCTAAGTTCACTAGTTTAGTTAATAGCATTAGCGCAGGAATCACAATTTATTTTCATTTATCGTACATATTGTATTGAAATCCAAAATCAATGATTTACAGACCTTTGTCCATTTAACCTTTGGCCGTAATGATAGGCATCAAATGTAATGTAGGTATAGCTATCACAAAAATCATCAATGCCAAAGTGCTAAAGAGAAAATATTCCTTGTTTCTTCTTTACAATAATAACTGTACATTTACATGTTAAGGTTTCCGTTGGATTCACAAAAATAGATGGAGAATTTTATAAAGAAAAGTTTTACAACTACTTAGTAACCTAGTTAAAATAAATTTCCCTGAAAATTTTTAATGTTTAATAGGAATAATCTTTGGTAAAATGAGCAATATTCAATAGTCAGTCATTCGGAAAGTAGATTTAAAGATATACGAATACTGAACGTTATTTTATAAGATCGCGTCTACCTATGCTTTCATAAAGAATTCGTTCTGCGAATTCAAGGTTTCGTAACCCAATACTCTCGGTATAATAAAAAAACTTCATTGAGATTATTGTGACCTTGTGGTTTCCTTCTCTTGTTTCCAAGACTGAGGTCGTATGTTTTGTCCCGTCTCCATTTATGTTAATTTTCATAGTTTACTAATTCTCTTATCTTTTGGGGTAAACTTTCTATTTTCAATAATTATCTTCCTATCTTCATCAGGGGCTTCGATTCCTTTTTTTTTCTGTACACTCCTTATACCTACTTAATTATGATTATGAGTATGTGGCTAAAACCAAATTTTACAATTTCATTGATATTCTATAATTTTTCGATATGATAATTATCGGGAACAGAAGTTAAAGCAGGAAAACAAATAAACAACTGACTGATTAGCCTATATATATACGTCTCACTATTTAAGAATAAGAAGTGCGGACATATCTCTGTAAATATTTACAAGCCTATAATCGTCAGCTAAGCCTTTTGTCGCATCATGTGAAAATTAATAAATAAAACTTAGCTGTCATTATTTCACAATCCTTCCACAATAATTGGAGATTACAATTCCCATATTTGCGTTTAGCCATTCAGATATAGATTTCACTAATTTTAGGTATTTTTCACTAATAAATACACAGGTAAGATGCCTAGCAAGAATTATCGCACACGCAATGATCAAGAACAAATTAATTACATAAATGGAATAATATATAATTCGATCTTCTCTACCTACTTTGAATTTCAAATTACAGGTATGCAAGCAAAACTTTTCGAAGTGGATTGGCCTTAGGTAAACAGCTTTCTGAATTAAAATAAAAATTAAACAAAATGTTAAATGACATACATATAAGTACAATGTTACTAACCTACCAATCCGCAACATTAATACTCATGTTTTAAAAAAATATATTCAAGCCAGGACATCAAACTAGTGATAAATTTGAAAGATGAGTTCATTTTACTGTCAATTTTTCTAAACGTAATCTATTCTTAATTAATATTAAATTAGATATATTATACTATATATTCTGTGTTGATTATGGCAGTATATTCTGACATAAGAATAATATCCTCACTTCCTTATTGTTCATAGCTTCTGATAGTATAAATAATCATCATGATAGTTTTAAAACTTAATCTCTTGTCGTGATAACCATTTTCTGACACAAGTATAAGTAGGTATTGTAAGAAGACACTAATATGTTACAGAAATAAATAGGCGCGAACTTAGTCACGCTACTTACCCGGTATACAAAAACACTCCAGTAGGCGAAATAAATATTCCCGAACCAATAATAGTCCCAATAATTATTCCGACTCCATTGAACAGCGTAATTTTACGTTTCAACACGACTTTCCCGTCCGCCGCTTGTGATTGTTCGCCCATTCCGTAAAAAAATCAATGCCCACCGGCAATACGCAACGCACGTGGACTAAACACAGTTTGCACGTAATTACGGGACCACTGTTCGGAGCCGACCAACCAACAGTACACCTCAAAATCTCTTACACGACTGAAGCACTTTCTGTGTCACCATTTTTACGATCGGTGTAACTGGAATATATCTTGAATGACGTCAGTCGAAACACAGCTACACGACTCTACAGAGCAGTCTCTACCGCGCATGTGAGATTGTTACTGGAAACTCCGATAGAGTGCGGAACTGTGGAGCGCTACCCGGTCCCTTGCCGAATTCATACAGGCGTCATAAATGCTTGCCTAACAAAAAGAGACACACAATGTTGTGAAAGCCTCTTCATAGGTCTATGAAAGAGATAGAGCACCCCATAGAAGCATGTATCAAGGAATTTGACTTAATGTGGCGCCGAAAAAAATTACGAAATAATTTAATCTTTGAATTCATCGAGTGTACCTGCTTAAGATGAAAATACTAACAAGTTTTGATAAGACCTATCAGTCAATCAATTTGAAATCTAGTTTATATTACGCTACATGTTCCATGATGTAACAATATATAGTAATTGCGCCTAAACACAAGCATTAAAAGGAGTGCTCTACTTGTTTCATAAGAGTTGATGCAACTTTTTTTGATGTTTCTAATTGAAGTAATTTGTGAGTTTTATTGAAAACTAACTACTCGCTCCGGCTTCGCACGGGTATACATGTATTATATATATAAAACTTCCTCTTGAATCACTATATATATTTAAAAAAAACCGCTTCAAAATCCGTTGCGTAGTTTTAAAAATTTAAGGGACAGACAGTGACAACGACTATTATTTTATAGTGTGTAATGATAACATAAATTACAGTCATCTATATGTTGTATGACTTGTATGAATTTATGTATTTATTTTTGATATACAAAAGGTTTTCTGTTTGTAGAGATAAACATAAAAAGAATATACGAAAATATGTAATCGGATAACTTGAAAATCTTTTTAGAATATATATAACCATTTTATGCACATGGTTTTATCAATACTGATATTGCACATAGCATGTTTACGGGTATAAGCTGGCGGTTTACCAGTGGATTATAGGATAAGAATGATGTCAGGTCAACTAACCAATCGTGGTGACTTCACCAGGAATTTATATGCGGTTTCCAGGGAAAGCCGCGTGGAGGTCGATCAGAAAATCATATGGTAGCAATGTGGCTAATTTGAAATTTCATTATTAACAAACTCTTTCCTTATCTACAACCAGTAGGTCCTTACCTAAATAACTATGTTACAGGTACCAATAAAAAACATAATATACAAACAAATATTATTTCTATATTGGCCTTTAAAAGTAAAAGTTTTTCAATTAAATTAGTATGTACTTTCACTGCGATGACTATTGAGCAACCCCTGTGTACTACATCTCAGAGCTATAATTTTGCAGAGGCAAGAGGTGCGAGAGCGCACCTTCGTCCTTTCGATGTGCATCCCCATGCAAAAATAACAAAACGTTGCTATGTAGCGCTATATTAAAATACTGCTTACTGCAAATCACAATATGATTCATTTTCTTAATCCACCTATCCTAACAACTACAAAATATAAGCGTAATCTTCTATTTATTATTTACTAGCTTTTTATTATTTAATATTAGTTTTTTTTTTTAATAAAAAGTATCCTATGTTCATTCTAATACCTTCAAAAACATGTGTACAAAATTTCAAGTTGATCGATTCAGTAGTTTTTGCGTGAAACCATAACAAACATCCCTACATTCACATTTATAATATTACTAGCTACTCGCCCCGGTTTCGCACAGGTGTAGATGTATTAATATATATATTGAAGAGGCCGTTGCGTAGTTTTAAAGATTTAAGCATGCATAGACAGCGACAGCGACTTTATTTTGTACTATGTAATGATTATGGATGTAGTTATTTATAATATGATATTTCCTATATTTTGAAATAGGAAAGCTTTAAATTTATTTGGTATATATATAAAAGTACCTTCCATAACATAATTAGATCGATAATGATAGATAGATAATGATCAGAGTAATTAGAATTCATTAAAATACTATAAGCAAAATCAATTAAATATCTGTATAACGAAATATACACATAAAAACAATATATTTTCATCTAATATATAAAACTCACGTGTATTTTTCATCGAACTACCACCACCGTACCACCCGCCAGAAACTGAAATACCATCCTGATCATCTGGATGAATGGCGGTCTTCCACAGTGCGGTTTTCTAGAAACTTTTTGCCCCGCACAACCACATTGTGGAATCACCTTCCAGCAATGATATTTCCGAACCGATACGATATTGAAACCTTCAAGAAAAGAGCTTATTCCTTTTTAAAAGGCCGACAACGTACTTGCAATTCCCCTGGTGTTGCGGGTGCTCATGGGCGGCGGTAATCAATTACCATCAGGTGAGCCGCATACACGTTTGTCCTCTGTGTTATAAAAAAAAAAGAACTCTGTAAAGACTACCGATTTTTATGAAATTATTACTATACTATACCATTTGGTACGTTTGATAATAGATCGTAGGCTATATCAATCTGTTATATAAAATAATTTAATAACAAAAAAAAGGTTGCCCGGTCAGCTAGTAGATAAATAAAAAACAACTACTTTCTAGAACCCGTATAGGCCCAAATATTCATAGATAAAAAAACAAAACGTAAAAAAAATAAGCTTGTTCCAAAGAAGTAATAAACCAATGATAATTCAATACTTCCACTAACTCCGCTAACAATCAGAGCTCTACATAGAGTTTGTAGACAAATAACCTTGGCCTTCAAAATAAGCACTATTTTCTTATAACGGGTATATTTATATACTTGTTTTCGCATCTCTTCTCATAAAGTACGCATTTCACAGGTTTTTAAAGTCGATTATAATGAATAAGTTAAAATGCTAATTATAACAACAACTTTTCCTATTTTACAATTCCGTTTCATTTAAACAATAAACGTTGTTGCTGCTGTGTTGTATATCTACCTATTTATAAATTATTATTTATAAATAGGTAGATATACAACAATCAAATAGGTAAATTACATATTTGTGTTTTAGGACTTCCTTGACCTATTTATAAAGCGAATACCTTATCTTTTTAATAAATTACCGTACATTCCTTTTTAATTTTATAGATGAAAATTCAAAAAATACATTTTAAACAGGTATTATAATGAGCTGAAGAAAAAGTTGCGTCTTACATGTGCTTACTATTTTATTGTAATCGTCGATAACCATGTTTTGAAGACGTCGCGGGAGACATCCTGAAATAAATAAAACGAAATTGCAGCAACGGAGCGATGCGCCCGCGGCGCGGCGCTACCGTCGCGCGATTATCCGACGCCATTTTCACACCGTTCGTGAGCTTTCCCGCACCGAGGTACGTATGATCGTTTTCACTCCAAATGAAAATACTAATGACACTATTATTTTATATATAACATAAATATAACATGAAAACACAATAAAATTACTTAATTAGGTTTATAATTAACAGAATGCTTTCAAACCGCCTATGAATACAAGAACATTGACCCTCGAGAGAACACGTAACAGTCAACATGTTTTTTGTTCGTTATGATAATTGCTGAATATAAAATAACTAGATGTATAAATTAATCAAACCTCTCAGCGAGTTCTACGTTTAGGCGGTGTAAAATCACAAATTCATACACTAAAAAACTATCAGGGGCTAATAACATCTAAATGTGAGCAGAGGAATGTGACCGTCATGTTTCAGTTACATCAACGTATAGACAAGACACAGTGCACTATCTACCTAACTGTACGGAATAATTAGACAGTGTTGTGTTCTGTTCGAAAGACGATCTATTTATGTCATCATGTCCTTATTTTTTTAATAGATCGCCAACCATCCCCCGCAGCGGCAGTGTTTCGAGACACGAGTCGTGTCGCGAGCTGCTGTGCCCTTCGCACGTGCTGCAATCCTAACCGTGTCCACTGAACATTTAGCCATAATAAGTTATTGTAAGACACTCCGATGACACTTATTCAAGGGGCCGAAGAAAAAACTAGCCGTATGGATGGACAGCAGGCGAAGGAAGACAGTGGGAGATCCATAAGACCCGTCAGAAACAGAAGGTACACACGGTCAGTATTTAAGAACAATAAATAGGGTTTGATGAGTCATTACTTTCGTTTTCTATAAGTACATAATATTTTCTTTGTGATTCAGACTCAGAAGTCAAAGTGATCGTAGTACATGAAAGTCGTTTATTCTCTGTGTGACGTATCGACACAGCGACAAGTCACACGCAATGTTAACTTTAGGCATTTCGCCATGTTCATTGTTTTTCAGTTTTATGAATGTATGTCGTATGTTTTAGAAGAAGTATAATTGCCGGTCAGAGGCCTCAGAAAAGGCTTTTCACACCAGAAATAAAACGTTACTTGAAAGATTGGCTGGTAAGACGGAGAGACAACCCATATCCTAACAGAGAAGAAAAGAAATATTTGTCCCATGAAACGGGACTAACGTATATTCAAGTAAGATTTATATATATATTATTTACAATACAATATAAATTACATTGTCATAACACGTACACGTAATTAATATTCAGGATAAATTTAAAAAGTAGAGATAATAACTACGTTCTTGTTCTATTTTATTGTGAAGTATATGATAATTTTTATGAAAAAATCTAGGATAATTGTGACATGGATTTACCTTACATTCGTGCATTTTTATAAAATACATGTATTTCACGATTTTGCTTACCGGCAACCTAATTGGCTGTGAGCCAAGAATTACTTCTTCTGCATATAGTCACTATATTTGTCACGGCTTTGTTAATGATACTACGGTTGTTTTTTTATCTAACAGTAAAGAATCATGAGGTACCTACCTACCTTCTCTAAATACACAAAGCAGAAGACAGCCAAGAGTGTGTAGCATTAGTATGAAATTTCGTAGCCGATTGATTGATAAATAATAAAAATAATTTTGTATTGTAAGTTGTGTTCACGAAAAACCAACGTTTTGAACAAATTGTCTTCTTGTTTATATAGATATATATTACTATGTTAAGCAAAAGTTTCCTATCCGTTTTTAATTAATTGCGCTTACGGGGAAGTATGAAATCCCCACACAATACTCAATCGAACACTTATAGTTTGTAAAGAGAAATGTAAATGTTAATATATTTTTTAAATAATGTATAGTAAATAGGTATATTAATTTATTTAAAAAAACACCATACACTACCATATATTTGACACACACGTATATATACCATATATACTCTTTTGTTCAATTATTATTGCTGTTACAAAGATCTTTTTGTATTTTTATTACGGTAAAATTATCAACAAATTAAGTAAGACCCACCGTTTATTAATTTACAGATTTGTAATTGGTTTGCAAATTGGCGAAGAAAATTAAAGAACGTCAATGCTGACCGCAACCAACCAACTTGGGGTCATTTAATTCGTACGTACAACGACCGTGCACAGGGCAACGTCGAGCAGTTCAGCATCTGCTCGGACGATAGCATATGGAGCGAGCACGGCCAGAACAGTCCTAATCCAGAATCACTAGACATCGATAATGGACTAATGAACAGTCCTGAATATATGACAGAATATCAACAGACCGAATCAGATACGTCTTCAACATCGAAAGAAAGATACGAAGTATACAATAATAACTCATATGTTGGTGTCAATAATAATGAATGTGGGGAATCCAAGATCATTACCAGTCCGCTCCTTCTCAGTAAATGGTTAGAGAGTGCAGCCCGTTTCCAACCGAGTGAGACTAATTACTCGTGGTGGGCGGACGGGAAAAAACGAAAGAACGAGTCGAAAGTCCAAACAATTCTCAATACAACACGCCATGACCGGGATGAGGTAGAAGCAGCTGTAGCTCTAACAACTTTAGCTAGTGCCTCAAGTCGCGTCACCGCGCCGTGATCATGTGGATTCGGCAGAGAACTGTGCTTGTTTTTTATATGCGTTTCGTATCTTAGTAAAATCTGCGTCGTTACCATAATATTGCCTAGGTATAAATTGGGCTATTGAATGAAAGCAAATATCATTAGATTTTTATAAATGTTTAACTTTGCAATCAGAAACCTAATTCATATTGTTAAAAAAATTATATTTATCTACGTTGCAGTTGGTGGTCAAGAAATTTGCTACCTTATAATTCTTTACATGATGTTAGTAATGGGAACACATTTAGCACAAAATAGAAAGATGTAGTACGAATCGTGTAGAGGTACTATAAGCTACTAGTTTTCAATCTAAAATATATTGCAGTTATGTGAATGTGCATGAATTTTAAAGAGATTACCTTATTTATGTTAATGCATTCTTAGTTATTACGTGTCCTTTTTCTGAATCTAAATAATTAAAACAAGGCAAGAAACTTCATCACAATCAAGTTCCACGCATATAATCGTTTCTATTCTGGTTTACGAATAAGAGATTAACAACAATCACGTATTATTGAAATCTGTCAGAACACATTTGTTCATATTTTGTCCTAAATTCGGTAAATTCATAAATTGTGACTGAGCGGATTGAATTATTTTCTAACAAATGTATCCGTCCTAAAATGTTGTTTCCTCTACAAAAGCCCATGCTAAAGTATTCAAAGACGGAGAACACTTGGTTTACGTTGTACAAAACAAAATTGCTAAATTATATTACATACGAGTTTCAAAATTCTTTGAAATTATAAGCATTACCAAATGTATTGAATACGGCTGTGTAAAATGAAATGCTCGTGGAATATAATAAGTACGATTTTTGTTCTCCCTAAACACAACTTATAAATAAGGTTTAGTTATCCTACTCAGACTCAAGTTTTTAAATGCTATGTGTTATTTTATATAAACACCTACTTATGCTTTATTGCTTATTTCAATATATATCTACTATACTATATAGGTACGTGGTACATAATACAGATAGAATAGAACAAATTCAAATCAATTTAATTTCATAAATTAGGGTAAATAAAATTTACACGACATGATCGATCAGTTTTGCTCAAGTATTATTAAATATAAGTTGTTTATAGAATTAATATATGACTATTTGATCTCCATTAGACATAAAAAAATATCTACCAAAGAATGTGTTTGAAATTATAAATATAATGTTTCTTTTAAAATCAATGTTGTTGTTTTATTGTGGTCCGTAAATAAGCATTGATATATTCTACAATAGAGAATCTTAAAACGGAAGCATTAACAAACACCATTATTATTTAAGTACCTAGGCATAATTCTGTCATACATACGTGTTAGCAAAATAATTTATTTTTCTATACTAATTTATAGTGTCTCCTCAGACGTAAATATGATATACACGTGAGGGCAATAAAAAATTAAGTATTTTATTATTATCATACATCTGACGATAACACATTGTTGCAACTAAAACAAATGTGGTATAGATATTGAGACAATAGGTACGAAATAAATACTAACATTCAATTTCAAGTTCCGCTTGTCGCACATCTGCGAATAACGATGCTAGTCTCTATAAAATAATTGTCTTTGGTAAGCTTCTTGGGTTAGACTTTGTAAAGTCATGTCTCATGCAAATGACTTTACAAAGTCTAGTCTTTGGCTAGATTTTGTAAACTAGACTCATGCCTACACTTACCTCAGTGTCACCTAATTCAACCGTGAAGCAGCTGGGCTTTGTAGATTATTTAACAGCATCTATTTATTACGGCAGTGAAACTACAGGATATGAAGGCATAATATCTCGGTCCTGCGGAATGGCCAAGACATGAGTAGTATCACGAGTGCCCCATAATAACATGATGTTAGTAGTGCCATTCATGTGGTGAACGTCGCGGTTACCATAGACAATTAGTTGTCTGTGATTACCAGTCCAATCATAGCGTTACTTAAGTTAACTACGATAATTTACAATATTGATTATCCATTTCATTATTATAAGGAATAAGGTCTGTCTGATTGTTACGTTTTCCTTATAGCATAGGGTACAAACGAAAAACGAGATATTATTTGACAAAATGAAACTATCAACTAGCTGAAAAGAATCCAACTACAACAGTTAGTATGTAATATTCTCTTATCTATGGTTATAACAACATCATCAATATCCCAGGATATTGATGATATTGTTATTGGAAAAAATCTGTAATAAACACAGTTATATTCATAAAAGTAGCTAAGGGTCTGATATATACGTATCTGGAGAAAGGTAGGCAGTCATTAGTGTATACTATATACATACTACTGAAAAAAGATACACATAAAGAATCTCTGCTTATTGTACTTATGCAGTAAAATGTGTGAATAAATTCACATAATTTTTAGTCTGTCACTATGGTATTCTCACAGTATCAATATGGCAACCAATAGCCTTTTTAAGATTTTTATTCTTGTAATTTGGACACAGGATTAAGATTGCATAATGTTATGTGACATTCTCTACCAATTATATAGATATAAATAGATGATCATTGTTTTTTTTAAATATAAGCCAATAAATGGTGGAGCAGTAGTTGATGAAATACTGTAACCAAATTAATATATTACTTTCATGAAGCTTTCATTTAATAGTAACAACATATATAAAATAATTTTACCTACTGCAGAATCTATTCTACAAAAATGATACAGCATAAGAGAATATTTACTTAAATATCAGAACTAATCAGGGTGCTTCCAATGAGGTTGATTGTGAATACTTACGACATATAAGTATGTATATGAGCATAGGTAGAAGGAGACAATGTAGAAGTAGCAAGCAACACAGTAAATAACCCCTATTTAAAATACTATTTAACGTTTTGTATGATAAAAGGACCATCAAAAAAAAAATCAAATGTCTACCTATATTATAATTAAGAACTAAACATTGCCAATAATAAATAAAGATAGTCTACTTTTAACTTTCAGTATCTTGCTTGTTAGGTTTGTTTTGAAGTTCTAAATGCTTCTCTAAGTGTGAAACTAATATCTGTTGAGAACAATTGAGTTGCCCAACTAGACTGGAGCCGGCACTCTCTAAAACTGCACATAACTGACTCCTGGCCAACTCCAAGCTGGGCAATTTGCTGAACTCCACAAGCTCATTCTTAGACATGAGACGATCCTGTATAATTGCCCCTACAAAACAAAATTAAATTCATAGTATTATATATACAAAAAAATATATATCACATCATAAAAAAGCATGATGGAGAACCACTAATGAAGAACAATTAATGATGAATTATAAAACGAAAATGTAAGATATTTCAAAGATGAACTGTATACTAGAGTTAAACTACTACTTCTCTATTAAAACATTACATGGTTTACTGTAAAAAGTTAGATGATAGCTAATTTAAATCTTTAGTCTTAAAGACAATCAATGAAAACTGAAATTTAGAAATAAAATAATATAATTACCCATAACAACTAATTGTGGAGTTTTCTTCAGTATTTTAAACATTTTATCTGCTTTATCTGGTTGACCAAATATTATGTTTTGATGTGAGGTAAATAATTGGTTAACAACTTCATACCGCGTACCCTTAGTAGCCATACTAACAATTTTTTTGCCATAAGTTCTTAAATGCATGTCTTGCTTCTTCAATGCAGCAAAAACAGGAGTTTTTTCTTCCATGCTGATTGAATTTACATGTAGGAATACAACCATTTTTGATGTGTTAAACCAATCTAGACACTCTTTGGCTAAAATCCTTTCAAAGGGATTGTCCTGTACCAATTTCGTCTTTTTCTCCCCTCTGTCGCAATTAATATAGTCCGGTAAAGTATATTTTGGAGGTGCATATGTAGGTTTGCTCAGATCAATTAATAGTTGCCTTTCAAAATGAGGTTTGCGAGGTTTTTGAATATTAATTTTACCTCGAAACCTCCTAGCTATTATAAAAGGAGTTTGAGTCTGTAAAAGTACTGAAAAAAATTAAGTGAATTAAGTATTAAATTAAGTTATTCAGTTACTAATGACATATGATTAAGATATAGCCACTGTTATTGACGTACTGGCCATATAGTTTTATAGTTCATATTTAGATTGTATTTTCTATTAAGAATTTTATTATATATTTTTCAGTGTCTAATAAAGATTATGACCGACAATAACAGGCACATTAAGGAAACTATACAAGTAATATATAAATAATACTTCATATTAAAAAAAATACCTCTGGAAGTCATCTTTCAATAATATTTGAAATCTCTTATTTTCTAACAACACGTCATGAATAAAAACAACAATAGTCTGTTGGAGAAGTTACTGTAATTATTTATTTCTTTATTAAATTTATTATTATACAAATCTAAGATATTTTGAAAGGCAAATTAATTTTAATATAAATAACTTATATCGTGAAGATAACCTCAAAACATAACAAAAAATAGATACAGATCAATTATCAAAAATTTCTCTGTGGTAGTGGTCTGTGGTCCATAGTTGTTCTGAAATACTTCGAAATACAAAAATCGTGACAGTTTATTCCAACTAATGGTACCACGGTAGTAGGGTTCATGATTTCTCGAGCTTTTCAGTTTCTCGGGTCTCGAGAATTCTCGAGGTCAATTTCTCGGGTCTTCTCGGGTTGTCGAGAAATTTACATTTACGTACGTTTTCTCATATTATTTGGTTCCAATAACGTCAAAAAATTCAGTGGTTTTCCTCTCAAATAAAAGTATTAAATTAAACTTTTATTGAGTATATTTAAATACATTAATATTATGAATAATTTTTTTTTTTTTAAAAGAGAGAAATAATATTAGGTCCTTACATATGAAATTGGCGTTTTGTCGTACTGGCCACTTTGATCTCATATAATTTCCAAATTTATACAGCTATTCACTTCGGGTAACTCACAGCATACAAAATGAAAAAACTTAAAGTATCGCGTTATTTACGAGTACGATTTCCGCTGTGGCACCAGAGCTACACGGTGCTAAACGGCTCGAAGTATTAATGATGTGTATGGCAGTGGTCTCGCAAAAGCAAACACGTGCATTTTTAGTTCCAACGTTTTCGTTCTGGAAATTTCGACCTGCAAAGCAATTTCCATGGGCGGCCGGAATCCAAGGTAATGAAGAATTGAAGGCTATTGTGGAAGCGGATCCATCGCAAACCCGTCCGAGTTAGCTACAGGCTGCGGTGTTCGTGACAATACTGTTTTAATCCTTTAGCAACTTGGGAAGGTGAAAAAGCTTGAAAAGTGGGTCCCTCATGAATTCAATGGAGTAAATCGACAAACGCGCGTTGCCTGCTGCGTTACATTAATCAACCGGCATAATAATGAAGGGATTTTAAAACAAATCATTTCCTGTGGTGGAAAGTGGATCTTGTACGATAATTGGAAGCGCTCATTGCAATGGCTAAACCCTGGCGAACCAACCAAATCTTGCCCCAAGCGAAATATGGCTCAAAAAATGTTACTTGTAAACGTTTGGTGGACTATTTACGGTGTTGTTCACTTCGGCTTTCTTAAATCTGGCCAGACGATTACGGCAAATGTGTATTGTCAGCAATTGAGAAACCATGATGGAAAAGCTAGCTGCTAAAGAACCGAGGCTGGTCAATCGCCAAGAACGCTTGACCATATACTGCACAACACACAGTTACCAAATTAGAAGAGATTCGATTGGAATGTCTAAGACAACCACCGAACTTGCCGGACCTTGCTCCAACAGATTACCTTTTTTTTAGAAATTTTGAATAACTTCTTGCAAGGGATAATATTAAATTCCGATGGGCAGTCCAAAGTGTAAAAACAAAATGCAAAAGTGCATAAATAGAAATGGTACATACTTTCATTAAATAAATATATTATGTTTTGAAAAAAATACTTCAGGTTATTCCCTTACAAAACGCCAATTTCAATTTTTAGGACCTAATTATTCAGACTTATAATGACAGCACCATTTTTGGCTGCTTATTTAGAAAAACTACGTAAACAAAAATAGTTTCTACAAAATAAAAAAATAACATGAAAGAAAACAAAAACGTTAATATCTTAAATTATTGCGCCACCACGCAATAAAACAAAGGGCAATTAAATTTCTATATAGGTACATGATTTCTCGAGTCTTTTCTCGAATTTCCCGGGAACAAAACCCATCATTATTTTGAACCCTACACGGTAGTATAAGAGTATCACACTATAACTTTATTTTGTTCATATATTTAATTGTCTCACGCTGAAAATAAAAAAGTAGTGGTACATACTTGCTTATTGATATATAATATAAGCACTAATGATATAGTAAAACTTAACTATTAACTTTAAACTATTAAGTATTACTCTCTTAATAGTTTAAAGAGATTATGACAATATCGAATAATACATTACATCTACTATATTGAATATTAAATCTACAATTGAAATTGATTTTCGAGTCATGCCGACATAATTATAGCTGTCAATGTCACTTCATCAACACACGGGTGAGTACTGAGTAGTGAACTCGACTGTCACTACAATTTTCTATGGTTATCTTTATCAGCTTATTTAAAAAAAACTTTTAATTATACATTGTAGATATGAAATTAGATTTCATACATTTTTTCTTTTAGTACGTTATAATTAATCCTAAATACAATAACTCATCATTATTTTTATTTGCAAATTTTATAAGGTTAGTTAAAAATTTATGTAAATTACTGCAAACAAAATTAATATATTAATATAATTATATATTAATAACTAGTAATATTTCGTAGTTCTGCTTGGGATACAGTCTCTGGTTTACGTTGTCACTATATTTGTCTGTAATTAAAATAATTTTTAATATTTTTAGTTTGTTCATCACCGACAAATATACAAAATATCAACTGTTTTTCTTTCTAATACCAATGCAGGCATTGGTATTAGAAATGTATCGTTGTAGTGGATGTGTAAAATCACTTTAACTTTTTTTTATTTAAGCACAATGCGAGATATTCAAGAAGACACGCCACCATCAAGTGTAAGTGGTGATGAAATATCAGCAATGGATGCTGACGGCGTTATTTATTTGGACGAAATGGATGAGATTCAATTGGACGAAGAAATGGATGATGATGAAGAGGACATTGAAATGGAACCACCTGAAGATCATGCTTCTCTAGTGTTTGATAAACATGTTGGGTCTGTATTCTGTTGTGACTTGCACCCTGATGGTAAACTGGCAGTCAGTGGTGGTGAAGATGACAAGGCATATGTGTGGTCTGTGGAAACAGGACAAGTCGTAATGGATTGCACTGGTCACAAAGATTCTGTTGTTTTTGTGGGGTTCAGCTTTGATGGTGCTTTCTTAGCTACGGCGGATATGAGTGGCTTGATTAAAGTGTGGAAATGTAATACAGATAACAATCAACAAGAACCCTGGACAGTGGCATTTGAGTATGAATCTGATGATTTGACTTGGGGTTCATGGCATTTTGGTGCACGAGTACTAGTCTGTGGAACTGCCTCTGGTGATATGTATGTGTTCAAAATACCCTCAGGTGAAACAAAGATTTTGCAGGGCCACAATGTTAGAGTTGAATGTGGGAAGGTATGTATGTTTCGACTACTAAAACTACCATATGTACTTCTAACAATATCTCAAAGAATTAAATCTCAATATTTATTCATTTTGTATAATATATTAAAATATGATTATTTCCCTCCACCAGACTTAATATAATAACACAATATATATTGATCCTATTAATTTTATTAAAACTCGTATGATGCAAACTCATGCCATTTTTTCTCTTACAATTTGTTTATTTATCATACTTTTCCATATTTACAGCTTTTCAGTGATGGCATACGGCTAGTAGCGGGGTATGAAGATGGCTCTATCAAAATATGGGATTTAAAAACTAGCAGTGTACTTCAACATATCCCTGACAGTGTTCACCAAATGAGAGTAACAGCTATAGACACACATCATGAAAATAATGTAATTGTATCAGTGTCTAGTGATGGTAAATAATTGTTTTATTTAAATTGCCTTATTAATTTCTAATAATGCCTTAAGTATTTCTATAGTTATAAGGTTTTTAACTTAGAATAGTTGATAGATGCTAGGACTACTCCCAAATTCCAGTGGACGTATGGAGCAACTGAATGTCAACTCTTATCTGATGGATATAAGTTTAGTCTTAGGGCACCATTAGGGTTTTATTTGGTAATGGATTGAACCTCAGCTCAGACTGGCATAATTAAGTCATTTATTATATTCAAAAGTGAATGGTGTGATATAGTAGTAAAAAACTGTGTACTCTAATCCAACATTTTCATGGATACCAATTCATCCTTGTGATAAGAAAATGTTGGATCTGAGGGATGTCTCTGGTATTGAAAGAGTTCATGATAGGATGAGATTGAGAAAGAACTATCTTTACTCCTTTTGTACTAGGAGAACAATTGTCATTGGATACTTTCAGATACACATAATACTTTACTAATTATATAAAAAATATTCTTAATTACTTTCACAGGTAAAGTGGTGTTGTCCACATCAAATAATGGTAAAATTGTGGGACAAATGGCAGCTGACATTGATCTAGAAGTTGTGGCGTTCTCAAAGAATCCACAGTTAGATTATTTTGCAACAGGTGATTCTTTACTATTTTTTATATAGACACAATTTTTTTCGTTGTTTATCTCTTAAATAACAATGAAGTCATCATAGATTAACTAAAGCCTAATATTATCAGTTGTTAAGATGAAGATGAATGCAACACACCTACATTTGGCTGGTTGTATTTAAATTAATATTAATGTCATTTAAAAATTATTGTTATTAATATTATTATATATACCGCAACTGTGAAATTTCATTTTTTCAATTTAATATCTATATTTCTATGACTAGAGAATTAGTCATAAGTATCTATGCACACATAGTTTCTATGTTGATTAGATTCGAATTCACAACCTTCATGTCGGTCTAAACGGTAACAACACTCTAATAGAAGAATAATAATAGAACAATAAATGTTGTATACTCTTTTCCAAAAGAAACAAAGTGTTTCTGTAACCAAATTATAACTTATAAAAATGGACTTCCAAAAAGTTCATTCAATACATAAAATAAAAAGCTACATGATTTTTAACCTGTTTTAGGTACATTGACTGGTGCTGTCAGTATATGGGATGCGTCAAGACAGATGGTCCGACATCAGTGTTCAAAGGTAGATGAGAACACAATTGCCGGGGTCACCAAAATGTTTTGGGTGCAGAACCATCTCCTAGTAGGATGTTTGGATGGATCTGTAAGAGCCTATGAAGGCAGATCTGGTGAACAAGTGTTAGCACTCACAGGGCATAGATCAGAAGTTTTAGATTTATGTTATAATGCAAAGCAAAATATTTTATTATCGACATCAGATGATGGAACAGCTAGAATATTTAAATATGCCGTAAAGAAAGACAATGACTAATATATATTTTTTATAAACACGTGTTTTTTTCATATATACTTATGTAAGTGAACAGTACTTTTACTGCTAAACTTTAGTTACTGTTACACTTCCTATTCTATAATAACTGACCAACAAGTAAGACTATAATTATTATTATAAAGACAGAAAGATATCTATAGAAATACAGCCTAAAATGACTTTATACGCGGTATTGTGATATGTATAAATCTTCTATTTTATTGAGCCTATAATACCTTATAAATTAAATTAAATGGTAGCTAATTAAAGTTAAAATATTTTCGTTTCACTGGTAGTGCCGTGACGCGTGAAGATCCTTATCTTTTGGAATGATAATATATTTACTCACGACATATATACACATTGTATGATAGCAAAAATAAGGGATTTGTTTAATTTGGATTGTTTTAATGTTTTATATAAATTATATATTTGTATGCAATCGTTCATTTATTATTGTTCTTGATTTTTGCTTTTCTTCCTTTTGCTGTAATATGTAAACATGTGAAGAAACGAACTGGATACCTCTTACTATCTACGTTTGTGACCTATAAAATGTATATTATATTATCCACCATTCCAGTAGTAATAAATTCGGTATCCTTATACCCATATTGATAAAAAACAGTTTTATACGTCAAACCTGTCATTGACCTCCAAGTAATTCTATCATGCTACCAAATGAATTGTTCATATCCTGTTTAGCAGCTGTATAAGTATTCGAACTGCTTGTATGAGATAACGGTCAACGTGCTCTCTTATCAGATATTCCACCGTTTTCAGGAGACTAGAATAAATATTGTTTGAATACATTTTCTTTTTACAAAACACACGTGTTAACACGTGAACAAGAGAGATGGGTAGAAACCAGTTGTTCAAACTTGGCAATGAATTCACAAGGAGATATTTACTTTAAAACACATACTTACAGTCTGACGTTAAGGTCGACTATTGGTTGCTGCCGAGCAGCACCCATGACTTTTTAAGCATGAGTCAACCCACGCCGCCGGTAGACAGTCCCACCAGTTGGTTAACTTGTGTAAAGCGGTAAAGTGAATAGTAAGTAGTACGCGACGAACGTGACGGTCTGTTCTGGGAACATCCAGCGTGCTATATTTCGATCTTTTTCCGACGGCATATATAGTTTTGTTTTGTACTTATCAATATATTGAAATTAAATAAATTCAATATTTTATAAAAAAAATAATAATAGTGACATTCTTAAAATTTAATGTGATGTATATTTTAACCTTAGTTTCATATTAATAAAATTTGACAGGAACATATAGTTTAACACAATTTATTGACAAGTGCTCGTTATCAGCAAAGTATGGTGACGAAACACTAGGTAAAGATTTTATCAGTTCATGGCGGTTTCATGGTGTATCAAGATGCACGTGGTCTTTGCCGCAGCGGTTTTATGATGCAATGTTTGCGTGAATAACGATCACAATTTTCGGTAACTATGCAGACAAAGTGATAAATAATTATACCGCCATGTGCCTAAAATTTTGTAGCGCGTAATATTCGTATTTTAATTTTGTGAATTTATTGAAACTTTAAAATGGCGAAAGTAGCAGCCTTGGAAGGACTATCACCAAAAGCAATGGACATGGGTTCAGAGTGTGAAAACAATGACAAAGACTCCTCGGAGGGCGTTAGGTTGAAGAAGGAGTTAAATTTAATGAATGGTGTTGCGATTGTTGTCGGCGTGATAGTAGGATCGGGTATCTTCGTGTCGCCAACCCTGGTGCTAAAGCACTCCGGCTCGAAGGGAATGGCCCTCATTGTATGGATTCTCTCCGGTTTCCTATCAATGGTCGGCGCCTTGTGTTATGCAGAACTAGGTAAGTGGAAATTAAATTAATATATACGAGTATGAAGGATGTCTAACAGCTATGGTATGCCCCAAATTAAGCATTTAAGACAAGGTGATAATTGTGGTAATAGAAGTAACAGAACTTTAAATTGGTATCTCCTTACCCCAAAGCCCAAAAGGGTCGGTTATAATTACTGTCAGCATTGTAAATATGAAAATGACTCTACAGACGTTGCGCCTTAACGATTCTACCAATCGTCATAGTCGTAAACAGTCATACTGGAATACATGTATGTATGTGTAAATCTTACTAATATTATAAACATGAAAATTTGTGAGTATGGATGGATGGATGTTTGTTACTCTTTCAAACTACTGAACCGATTTTGAAGAAACTTTACACTAATATAGTTTATGCATTAGAAAAATAACACACAGGTTATAATTTTTAAAAAAAATATCTGTCTTTTTCATAAAATTTAAGAAGCCTTTATAAGCCGACTATGGCAGTGCTATAAAGGCTTTATAAAAATCTCTATATGTATTTTCTGCGAAACATAATGATAAATGTTAAGTACCTACCTAAGTGTGTCTAAGTACAGACGAAATAGCGCGGGTCAGCTCTAAATATAATTGGTTGTCATATAAGTAATAAACATTTCAACAATAAGGCTAGGTGCCATATTGTTAAAGTATGTTATAAGCAGACTATTTTTTAAATGTAACTTTATACCTACACAATTTCATCTTTCGATGGTTTCGAGTTCAATCCGTGCATATTACAAACTCTTGTATTTATGAGTAGGCATAATTAAGTCTTGTACGGGATCAATATGAACTTTTTAAATTTCTATTTACAGAATTTATTATTAATCTCAACAAAAATATATTTGTTATTATTGGATTATAAGTGTAAATAATACATTAGACGATTTTTTTTTTCTATTAGCAGCTCATACTTATTTTAGTGTAGAAATAGTAGTGCACAAGATGTAGGTACTATGTAGTGATACAGTTTTCATCTAAATTCACTGAGCGACAAATGCAAGAGAATGTTGAAATGATAATGTTGCGTGTTCGCCGAAGAAATTTAAGAAATTGAAGCTATGTATCCACTTAATAGACAACCCAACGTTGGAATAGCTAGGTGTTATAATGTAGACAGTTTCATATTGTATGACATTTCTATAACAAAAACAGATATATTACATATAGGGCCACACGATTCCTTTATTTATCTGCATAGTTTTGCCGATCTTATAATTAAGAGGTTATGGGCCCAGCATGCCTCCAATGTGCTGTTTTACAGACTATATAATTGGAAAGATGGACTTTATGCACGACATTGTCTCTTTTTGATAAGATTCGTGATAAAGTAACAAACAGACAGACAAATTTTCGTATTCACATTATATATATGTAACAGTTTATGTACCCAAATATATCTCTTGACCCTAAAAGATCAAAACATAATTGGTTATACATGTAGGTATATGTATTAACAACCCCATACAATTCAGACAGTAGGTACTACTATCTAATCCCAAACTAAACAAAGCATGAGCTATAATAGAATAATTGAAGCCATATTTGTTAGATATATATAAAATACACCTACACCAATACAAGCGATCATACTCATGATAATAAATCACTTGTAGCACGGGAACCGAACCTGCGACTATTGGAAGTAAGGCGGTAAAGTATTAAACCGCTACACCGCCAAGACAAACTTATGTATGGTACTATCTATCTCATACTAACACAATATAAATCTTTAACAGTTGGATATTGTATGCAAACATTTTATCGTTTAACAAAAAATCTATAGTCATAATTATTTAACTTGGCGAAGCATGCTGCTTCTTACACATGCGGTGATTGAACTCAGGGTATGTGGTACTCGTAAAACTTTGTTTTTTATAATAAAACAATGATATGTCTCAAGTTAATTATAAATTTGTCCCACATGCTAGACATATCCATGCGATATTGCTTTACTATTCATAGTTCGGTACTATTAATGTTACTTTTATTAGGTCTATAAGTATATAGTTTAGAGATAAAACAGTGCAAGCTTACTTACTTTTTGTGGGCATAGAGTAAAAAAGAAAATAATAAAGAAAGAAATTCTTCGGAATATGTGACTCGGAAGACGCGTATTATAAATGTGAACAAAAAAAATATGGTACAAGTTGATTTGAAATCTAATTTTGATAATAATTATGTATGCAGAATCGGTCCTATTATGTCACACAAAAATGTAGAGACGACTTGACAATGGTATTTAATAATTTATCCCTAAAGAGACCTTGCAAAACTTTTCCTTTTTGTATGCCTACCTAGAAGCAGTTATGTCAGTACAAAAATTTTGAACTGAAGAAGTCTTATATAAACTCACATAATATCGTACTCATATTAAGATAATGTCTCGCAATATCGTTATTTCAATAGGGAGAAGGAAGAGAATAGAAATAGCTCAGACTGACCATCCGTCCCGGCTTTATATTATACAAATCTTTGAATTTCTCGGCTTGTTCCATACTATAACACCTTTGTATTTGTATACATATATACATAACCTTCTTCTTGAATCACTCTATCTATTGCTGAAACTGCATTACAGTCCGTTGCGTAATTTAAAAGATATAAAGAAACAGACAGCGGCAGCGATTTTGTTTTAAACTATATATATATACAAGCGCATATATATATATACAAGCCTGAATTAGTTGAGAAGGAAAAGCAAGAATATTATTACTCTTGCTTTTTTTTATAATTTTTGCTTGCTTAGTGTTGTAAGTTTATATCTTCCAATTTTCACATTAGATATATATATACCTACATCGTTGCCTGGTATGTAGACTAAGTATAACCCTGTATTTTAGGTTCCAGTAGATTTTGTGAACATCGAAGAGTGCTTTTAGAGTCTTTCTTTTTAAAATATGTGAATAAATTGCGTATTGTTAAGAATTAACGAAAGCCTAGTTAGTGTCCACAAATTTAGGTATTATGATTTTTATAGATTATTTCACTAGTCTACTAGCACAATTTCATAGTTTTATGACCTCGTTATACAGGTGTCTCTGGCAATTGATTTAAAGTGGCCAATCAGGGCACCACTGCACTCTTACTATTTGTATGCAAATTTAAACTTTAATATATAAACCGTAAGTTCACTTTATCTATCTATTCCAACTATCTGCATTACACCGTGTCTCACAAATATTTTGTACCATTTATGATTTTAATATACCTATTTACACATGTAAATAAAATGCATTGTATGAAGTGCAAAACAATTTACGCCAAAGAAAATATAGGGTATTTGATTTTACATCTTGTTTATTTGTCGCACTATAAGGGTCCTATTGTAATATTTGATCGATATTTGGAGACAGTAAAGAACTAATTTCTATAAATTATCTTCAGTTTAGTAGTAGGTAATTTTATTATTAATTGTTTTAACATTCATTTTCTATTGGTTACTCGTACTGATAGCTTCGTAAATATAATTACAATATATTCAAACAAGATGTTATTTTCCAGGTACCATGATTCCCAAATCAGGCGGAGATTACGCGTACATCGGCGAGGCATTCGGTGCCCTCCCATCATTCCTGTACCTATGGGTCGCGCTGTTCATCTTGGTGCCAACTGGGAACGCCATTACAGCACTCACCTTCGCGCAGAACATTCTCAAGCCCCTGTGGCCTGAGTGTAAACCTCCGGACGATGCTGTCAGTCTTATAGCAGCCTCAATTACCTGTTAGTATGTTTACTCTATTAAGTATATTACGTCAATTTGGGAGTGCTATTGCAATATCATGTTCTCTAAATTGGCAGGATCGATTCATCAATCATAAATGTTTTCCATTATTTCGTTCTTATATATATATATATATATATATATATATATATATATAGGTATACATTCATGTACTACCCGAACTAAGGTTCTAAGTTCAAACCGGGCTCTAAAAAGACTTTGTGTCTCAATTTATATTTCTAAATATGGAATGCATCTCCGGTGATGGAAACAAAAACAAATTAATCCACGAGACGGCGGTCGCCCCCTACCAAGTGGAATTTAAATATACGGAGCGAAATGTGGGCGTGTCAAGTAATGCGTTCACTATGACGTCGTTAGTTGACAATGCCTCTGACATGATCCATCCATCTCCCCATCATATCTCTTTCTTATATAACAGTCCTCACGGTAAGGAGACTACTATTAAACTTACATGATTAGTTGATTGTCATTAATGGCTATGATAGCATAACGAGGTGTAAGTATATTTTGTTTAAATACAATTAAATCATTAGTCTCAAAAAATCGAGAAACTATTCTGTATTCATAATTATAATTTCAGATTGACAGCGTTCACTACCGAAATTTAACAATGTCTGTAGTCTGTAGTTGTTCTCATTAATTGATATATGAATATGAATATTAACAAAATTTTCTACAAATATAAGTGTATCGCCACCCATGCCAAATAGCGAGGGCTAGACGCCAAATAACTATACATATAATTAATAAAAAGCAATACCTGTCAGTAACAAACAATTATTGAATTAATTTCGTCCTCACATTAAGTTAGTTGTTGGATACGTACTTTGATATACATAGATAGGTAGGTATATGAAAAGTAACTACGGAGTAATACTAGCCATTTTTGTTTGTAAATTTTATAAATACCTAATGTCGTCCGAGATATAATGTGAAAGTAAGTAAGAAATATCAATAGAAACATAAATGCGATTGCTACTTATACATTGCTTGTTGGTATCCCGATAGAATGTTCGATGGAAGCATGATAAAATCTTGAAAGTGGTCATCAAGTATAAGATTAGTCTGGAGATATTAAAGAGGCAGTTAACCTGATTAGAAAGAGTATTTTATTATTCAACTATATACCTACTAGTAATTAACTATTAAAGAGTCTGGAACCATATTCTCAGGTACACCTACTTACATGAGATTTGGGCTAGAAGGGATGACATTTTTAAAATTGATGAAACCCTTGATGTTTATAAATGATGCCATTCATACTCAGTACTCCTAGCACGTAGTAATCATTTGCATTATTAATTGTATAAAGAAGCATTATATTAAATGATGATAATTTTAACAAAACTAGTTTAATGTCTTTGTTACATATACGAGCATAACTGGTTTTTAGGGTAAGGGGTTTTAAATAAAAGACTACCTCGTCATGAACATAAAGTTTTGATTCATTACTAAAATAATTATATAGTAGTTTTAGGTTACTAATTATACTATGTTATAAAAATAATAAATAGCTTATGGTCACGATTATTTACATTGAACGAGATTTTACATTTATTTGGCAAACCTAACTAAGGCACAGTTAGTCTATGACCCCACGCTCTATTCATAGTAATCACCCTTTTACGGCGTTATTGAAGGTTTATAACACAGATATACCTACACTTCTCACAGATAATTGCAATTTATCACCACAAGAAACATGGCATTCGCTTCGTGTAATTCTGAGAAGCGAGTACCACTTAGTTTCTTCAACGAATTTGGCCTTTAAATGTTTTATACATGGACAAGCATAACTCGAAATTCAGGTTTATGAAAAGTATGCAAAGTAAGTCTTATTATTTGCACATAAAGTACGATGTGCTGTACGCAACCCTCCAAGAATTATGGGCATACGAAAGACATTACACATGTTGGCGGGCCCCCATACTGGTTCCCGAAAGTCATAATTTATTTGTAATTGTCCATAATTTATTTGTAGTTCCAAAGCCTTGTATTTTTTTTTTGTGATAATTTATGTGATTACATTTTTGACTCCAGAAATTAAAATGAATATATTTTGTATATGGGATGAATCCCATTAGTTATTATAAAATATTTTTCTACGATAATGTTTTTCATACCGTTGTATATACTATAATATATTATTTAAGCCACCAGAAATTAAGCTCAAAGGACAGGTAACGCTCAGAAATGCAGAATAAATTATGCATTTTTAAATTCTAAGGAACTATTCAAAGAATCACAGCCTACGATTTTTTAATGAGCTATGAAACCCGCATTGATTATATACTTTATAATTTGAATAATTCCTTTTCCAATAGAAAGTCGAAGGCCAGGTTGCGAATATCTTCATGTGTAGTTGCTATAGTTGTATATTTCATTCAAACCGCACATCGTCACGACATCCATATGCATGTAGTAAAAAACGGTTATTTCAATAATATAAAGCTATTACAAACAGACACTCCAATTTTATTTATATGCATAGATATATATATATACACTGATGGCGTGTTCATTGCTGTTTATTAGCTGATTCTGTATTACACCAAGCCATTAGTGTATTAATTTCGCTGCTTCATTTATATATTTATCTTGTCATGTCTTGTCCGACACTACATCAATACCAATACAAACAAGATTAGCCCCGAGGCCTTTGAGCTCAGTTCAACAATAGGCAACTATGTCCGTGTCTTTATAACTCTCGTCGGTACATAGTATTCTGTGGCTCGGCCGCCTGTGCTGATTGCTCCTGACAGGATAATGAGGGCTTCCTCCCGCATCGTACTGACACATACTCTTGTGCGGATTATCTTGCCGTGTATAGTCGATAAGGGCACTTGATGACGTGACGTGATTGGCTGTTAAAGCCAGACCCACGGTCACCATCTGGAATCCTGAATCAATTTATAGAAAAGGTATCAATTTTACTACGCATTTGCGACATATGTAATTGAGTTTAATCTGCCACTTTTGTCTTGTAATTGTAAATAAAAATATCCTTTATGCAACAGCGTTTATTTTAATACATACGTCTCAATATTTTCCTCAATTCTGAATTAGTACTGATAGCCAATAGAGTTCTCTTTTCTGATGCTTTATTTTGGAACGCCGATTTCGTAAATTATATTTATATCAATGGGTTTTGCAAATGCAAGTGTTTCCTTACATATTGTAAAATTGTAAGTACATGTTACTATTTTTAATTGAGAATTTCTCTATACTATACATGATAAAATCCCTGTTAATGCTATATATATATTCTGAAATGACATTAGTATATACCTACTCGTAGGTACTGCTACTACCTAGGCACTATAAATATTTGTAAACATCATTAATTAATTTTGTGTTTATTTCCTCGTACGTCGCACTATGAACTATTTGTAAAATGTAGCTAATAGTTATTTTTATACAGTTTTTTTTTATTAAATAACATACTGTAGACTACAATGCTCCCATTTACTTAATTAGTTCCATATTCCAGGATGGCCAATTCTATCAAAGCAGTTCTACATAGAGTGCAGCATATAATCAGTCAATACCATATATGTTAAGACTTTATTAGGGGATAGTGACGGTATTTACTCCTGTTAATTATTTTTAATTTTGAGATTCTCTTATCTACGAGTAAGTTTAGTAAACGTTTTCACAGATTGATTAATTATTGGTTCAACCAACTATCTTTGGTCGAACCAATAATTTGGTCATCTGTCTGCTATCGATAGTCAAATCATAATCATCTCTCGGATTAATCCTCGACATAAGTAATATATAAGGAACTCGGAATCAATTTTCAAGCGGATAATTATGAGTATGATACAATGCAATGCTTAAACAGCACAGTCTGAAAAATTTACTACCTTTCTTGCTAGAAGTTAAGACTTCTGCCTAGATTATATATGCTAATGTCGTATTATACCAGGAAGTATATAGACAGTTTCAAAAGAGTAAGTGATTGCACTAATAAAAGTTTACGTAATAATAACAATAATGATTTTACCTAAGTGTCGTTTAGCTAAAGTTAGTAATTCGTTTTATGGCATTTGCGTAAGGTTGTCAACAAAATCCCAGAGTGTTATAAAACTGCCAGAAAAAAGATTTATTTGTCATATAAAACACTTCCTTTGCAAAAAAAGCTTACTATAAAATTGAAGAATTCGTTAACGATAATAATGTTTTCGTAGAAAAACTTAAAATCCATAGCACTGACAATATTATCTGATTGCACTAATAATAAGTGCGTAGCGATTTCTATGTTGATTATCGCATGCCTCTTACTTGTTATACTGTAATTATATATATAAAAAAAACATCTATTAAAAAGAGCAACACACAAGTTTCTTGCTCATTCTTCTTGTGATGAATCTACATTCCGAATGAGTGATAGAATCAAAATATGACTATTCAAAAGTTTGTAGCTTGTAATGAGTTTATTTGAATAAAGATTATTTCTATTTCTATTAGTTTTCTTTTATAGACTCTGTTTGTTTTCAAACTTTAAACTGTGTTAGTTTACAATTTGTCAATGATCAGTATAATTCCACAGTAGGGACATATGATTATCTAGATTGTGGTTAGACTCATGAAGAAACAAGTCTAATTGACTCTACCAAAAAATGTGGGCGGGTACTGCGAATACAAAATAGCGCGTACTTATATAAATAGTCTACTGTGTTTAGTATTATACAATATTGTGTTATCTGCGATTATACTAAACTAGTTACTCGTCCCGGCTTTTCACGGGTGTACTTGGAATTGAGACAAAATTTTCTCTGTCCAACAGCCAATTCTGTTTGTATATAGAATCTCTCTATACCAAAATGTCCACATCTCAAAAAATATTCAATCTCAAAAATTTTACCTCTTTATAATATTAGTATTTTCTTCATTACAGGTATCCTTACCGTCATCAATTGCTACAATGTGAAATGGGTAACGCGTGTGCAGGACTCATTCACGGCGGCCAAAGTACTAGCTCTGGTCGTGACGTTTTTCGCCAGTCTGTGGTACCTGTTCTCTGGCCACACTGAGAATCTCGAATCGATGATGCAAGGCACCGAAACAGATCCTGGAAACTTAGCGATTGCTTTCTATACAGGACTATTTTCTTATTCTGGATGGAATTACCTCAATTTTGTCACTGAAGAATTAAAGGAACCTTACAAGTTAGTATATATTATATTTTAAATTTGTTATTACATATACACATGCATATAACAAAACTTTTATTGTAATATAATTTAATAATATAATATAATAATATTTTATTTATTATTTAAAATGCTATATAATGTATGGTAATATCTATTGTACTCAAAGCTCAAACTATAATATATTTACGACTAGATACGTATCTATCGCTTGTAAATATAATGTGAACAGCAGAAATGGATGTAACAAATATACTAAGAAAAAAACTGGCATCACTGAGAGAATAACTGGTAGAAAGAGAGATAGAAACAGATAATTAAACTGATCTATTATTATAATATTACATTCATCCACGCAAACGACTTTTTATAAAGTCTAACTATCACATAAATATACAATATACGGCCTCGGTGGTTTAGCGGTTTAACACACTACGATGATCGCGGGTTCGATTCCTTGTACGGTGCAAATATTTGCTTTCATGAGTATGAATGTTTGTATCGGTCTGGGTGTTTTCTGTATGTATATTATTTATGTATCTACAAAAAAAGTATTTATATCAGTTGTCTAGTACACAATACACATGACACATGCTCTGCTTATCGTGGGACTAGATGGCGCTGTGTTATTTGTCTAAGGTTATGAAATTATTTATTATTTAATGCAACATCTCTGATAACAGTGAAGGAAATGTAGTAATTGAAGAAGTGAGGTATATGTGTTTTATATTTATTACACTATTACAGGAACTTACCACGGGCGATCTGCATATCAATGCCGGTGGTGACTTTAGTCTACACGTTCACCAATGTGGCATTCTTCGCTGTACTCAGCACCGACGAGATCATCGCTTCGGAAGCTGTTGCCGTCACCTTTAGTGAAAAAATTCTTGGGGTGGTGGCGTGGATCATGCCTCTATTCGTTGCTCTGTGCACGTTGGGCTCTTTGAATGGGGCCATATATACCTCATCTCGGTTGTTCTTCGTGGGTGCAAGGAATGGCCATCTTCCTTTGGCTATATCTTTAATAGACGTGAAGAGATTAACACCAGTTCCTTCTCTTATATTTATGGTAAGTTAAAGTCAAAATAATTTATTAATTATTTTGCGATAATATTGTCAACCTAAACATCCTACACGGAGAACATTGTGATGAGGAAACTAAATCCCGAAACTACTGGAGTGTTATGAATTTTTTTTCACGTTTCGAAATTGGGTATATAGTTCCATAGTAACAAACTATATGATACATTAGTACTCGTATACAAAAACCTCACAAAGTAATATGCACCCTAGCTAAAACAGAACTTTTTACTTAACTTTTTACTGTTGTAAACAAAAACCTTTATATTGTACCACATGACAGCCCAAAATAGATTCAAATATACTCAGCAAAATGTGGAACATGTTAGTTTTTTAATCACCACAGGTTTAGTTGACAGCGTATTTGTTTTTCAATATAACGTTTTGATCACTTTTCAGTGCATGTACAGATTATAACCATATAAGATAATTGCAACCATATTTATAGTCATTTGTTAATTGAAGGCATTAACAAAATTAAAGTAAATATTCAAAATATACACATAAGTTCATAATTATCTATTTACGGAGTACAAACATACACTATCGATAAGGTAATTTGATTTACTTGCTGAGTTATTTATTTATCATGTAGTTTGCTCATTCCTAATTAGCATTAATATGTAAGTGAAATTATTTGTTTCTTTGTATACAATACTTTGTAAACAATTCTTTTTTTATTTTTTTTATTTGTCAAAAATAATACGAAAATTGTCTTAAACACATCTGTGAAAACCATATCAAAGAATAAAGCCATGAGCACAAAACTTCAACACTCTTATTTGATTAATCAAGATTCGGCGTTTTTAGGAAACTTTAATAGCTATAGCCTATCATACTGCATTAGCAAATATTACTATACGTAAAACGTAACTTAAGTAGTTACCATTTTATCCTAGTAGGTACCTACCATAGACATATCGATAATGCTGAAACTCAGTCATTAACATAGTTTTACGTATAATGGTTAATTTACGAGTTATATTTCTTATTCATTTTCAAACACTTAACCAGCTAATCGAGTTGAAATATTTCACTATATCGTTTAAAGACAATGCATATTTTATTTAATGAGTTTGTTCTACAATGGAATTGATTCTACAATTGATTGACATGGCAATGATTATTATGTTATTAAATTTATCGCATTTTTACGTAAAAGCATTCATTGTTGATTAATCTACATTTATTTTACTACCTGTTAGTAAAATAAATATAGATCAATCTGTAGATTGCAACAAATGATTGTTGTAACAATTGTAATCTGATTAGTGAGTTCCATAAACATTAGGTACCTATATGATTTAGTATCTTGACTAATATATGCTTGAATGGGATATATCGCATTGTATTCTTTAGAAATGTAATAATCTCGTCGTGTTCATATCGACTTACACCCTCATAATAGAAAATAAATGAACGCGGTTTACATCCGTTATCTATTTTTTAAAATTTGATTACCTACCGCAGATAAGAGAATATTACAAATTACCAGCTGAGTATATCTCGAGACTTCGTACTTGTTGTATTCGGAATAACAATCGTTTATAACTTCTTAAACCTATTAGATAGTTAAAAACGCATCCAAATAATTATTTTCTTGGTTTACGTAAAAACACACTGACAAAAAAAAACAAATTTCTAAAACTCTTTGTTTTGTGTTGTGTCATGTTGTAAATCCTCTAATAACAGTTTTTCTCGTACAATAATATATTCTATTTACTATCTACGTATAGTATTTATAATAGTAGATATTTATTTATTACGTATAGTATATATCAAGAGTTGATAATAGTGTAAGTTTGAGCTATCTTTTGTAAACTCACAACAGTATTATACAATGTTATTTTATTGTTGATATTTATATAGTACAATCAATAATTAATTAGTTAACTATATGAATAGGATATGTACCTACTTAATGTTTTTAGTACAGTATTATCTTATCAAATAGGAGGTACTGAATCACACGTAGAAAATCAAATGCCAGGATTATATTCAAAAGCCCTAATAACGGGCTACTGTAAGCAATACTCCTAATAGACTAATGTTATGGAATTAAAACAACATATGCATCATAACTAGGACCTCACTGGACACTGCAAATGTTCTGAAAAAGCAGAGGTATGTGCTTATCAAAAGACTGCAGATTTTGCCAAGATGAATAGGAAAATCTACTACATATCGTATGTGGTTATAGCCCATACATGTAGAAAAGAATTGTCTCCTTTGGAAATTACATACTGAAATATAAAATAACCTAAGAATACCCTTCAATCTATCTAAAAAAAATCTATGTACTTATATGTGTTGTCTAGTCTACCCGTAACACGTTGCTGCCGATGGCGCTGTGTTAATTATTCATTATTTATTTTTGTATTGTTTGCCTATTTGTAGGTTATATAGTATACCTAGGAAATCATTAAATGAGGAGACATATTGTTATTACTTAGTTACTTTACATTATAATAACCGTGTAAGAATAAGTCATTAAACAGCTGTACAAAATATGATTCGAGGTCGCGAATGCTATGTCAATTTGCTTTGAATTTAGAGTCAGGTACTTAAATAAAAATATATTACAAAGTAGACACCTATTTTTTATTACCGTAATAATGTAATTTGGGCATGTGAATTGCAAGTAGCTTTAATAACTTTTCTCAATTTTGTCAACCTATTTCGTAAAAAATATTCCGAAAGTAACATTTGTACTCATTACAAATATTAAAAAACTTATAAAAATATTTTTTTAAATAGGTACTTAATATATTTATATCTATACCGCCAACATTGAACTGATTATCAATCGACTTTTAAATCTAGTATCTGAATGGGACTATATTATTAATAATTATTATTCGATAGATTCTTATCGCTTTGTTGATCTCTTATTCAATTTATCAATCTAGGAGTGTTCTAGATTGATATTGCAATTCCAAAATACAACTTTTGCTGGTTTGTGTATAGTTATGTGAAGTGTAACAGTAAGAATATTTTTCAAATAAATATAATAATTCCGGATCGTTGCATTTATTTAAAAAATATTTTTACTATTTGAACAACACATTATTCCAGATACACAATATTAGTCATTAATTATAAATATTTGTTTGTTGCAGTGTGTAGTGACCTTAGCGCTCCTGGTTTCAAACAACGTGGAGTCCCTAATAGTGTACGTGACAGCTGTCGAAGCCCTATTCACCCTCAGTTCAGTGGCTGGATTACTCTGGATGAGGTACTCTCGGCCGCATATGCTGAGGCCCATCCGCGTCAACTTGATCCTGCCGATAGCATTCCTCATCATATGTGCATTCCTCGTCGTGTGTTCATGCTTTACAAGTCCTACTGAAGTTGGAGTCGGCATAGCTCTAATAGCATTAGGCGTTCCTGTATATTGCATCTTTATCAAATGGAAAGCCAAACCAGAATGGTTGCAATTAGCATGTGAATCATTCAATATAGCATGCTCCAAAATGTTCCTTTGTCTTCCAGAAGATTCGAAAGATTTATGATCTTTGAAATTATAACACTTCAACAGATCTTTGTGTGATTTTATATTTTCTCATATTATTTGTATTAAATGTATGCGATTATTTTTGTTATTTATTAAGAAGGGTAGCCTTTTTTAAATGTAATAATAGAATTAATAGAAAATATGTATTAAAAATAAGACATTGACGAAAATGATTCTTTCTACATAAATAAGTTTGTGACGTTCCAGTCTGAAGTTTAAAGTTGTAATAAATTTCTTCTTCAGATCATACGACCGTGTTATTACTTTACATCTCATGAAGCCAACTAAAATTTAATGAATTTAATATATTACTTACAGTAGTAATTGATTATTATTCGTTTCTCCTTTTTTATTTTTTATATTATTGATATATAACAATCTCAGTAATTGTAATATTGTATTAACAAGTATATTAACTACAAAAAACCTTTCGGGTGCATCAATTATTATAAAGTACGCATTTTCACACTTTTGTACGGAGACCGAACATTATTTTATTAGCTCAACTCAACAATTGGATCAAACAACCGAAGTAATTCCAACAATCATTTGACGCCTATGATGCCCAACATGCGGTGACATCCTTAAGGACTAATATAATATCATGCGCCTTATCCCGTAATTTGACTGCCTATTTCACCGTTCAACCGAAACACAGCATGAGATGAGACTAAAGTATCAACTTAGACGACTTTTTAGAAAGCCTACTTCAGTTTCTATTTACCACTTTAATTTTCCTAAGTATTAACACTATTCTTCGGAACCCGTCTTCTTTTATATCAAAACTTTGTATTGATAGTATAATAATATGTAGTTACATATGTGTAATAAATAGTTACCTGTTCTCTAATAAACACTAAAAGCGCAAATCCGTTACTGTACTCATAGTATATATACAATTCCACATCCTAGCATTGTCAATTATTACCAACGCTAAATCAATTTTCGCTTCGTCAAGGTTTCAGCAAGACCTGTTTAATAAATCGTACCATCACTCGTTTTTTATACGGGAAATATAAAAAACGAAAGGAAACTAACTGGCGGTCAACCTGTTATTCATCTGGTGGACCATCCTTGCCATTCCAGGTATATAAAAAATACACGATACGCTAATTAACTATCCATATATTTTTCTTAAATAGGTACCCACCTATATCAATTCAATGTCAATTCCTACCAACTGGGAGAGTTTCATCTTAATTCTTACTACCATTTTTCAATTAGTGAATAATGAGCAACAGTAGGTAAATATCCCATCATGTATTATAATCTTATATGTATAATTCTCGTATCATAATTTTAGTTACCATACTCCTCCAAAACAGCTTGACCGATTTTTATGAAATTTGATATAAATACTCAGTAGGTCTGAGAATCGGCTACTATTTTTTTTTTACGACATAATGTTTTATTATGATTTAGCATTGAGAAATACATACTATTCTAAATTTTCACCTTCCTATCATAAACACTTATTTTTTTAATAGCGATTTTAATTTATGTGGCAACCAAACGTTTGTGGGGTCAGCAAGTAAGAAAATATAACTATTTATGATTAGTACAACTGGTACTACTTGCCTTTCCTATATCTCGTTTTTTGGTCTGAGATCGATGACCATTTATTAAAAAAATTATACTATAATGTTTATGTGTACTAGGTATTATATATTTCTCATGTACTTACAAAGTGTTATACTGGGGTAAGAACCATCATAGACGACTTCTTACCTTATGTGCAATTCTTCATCATTGCAAATTAGATAGGAAGTGATATCTGCAGAATATTAAATAATATACGTCTATAGTTATTGTATATGTGAATGCTTTTTCTATATGAAGAAAGGCGTCCACTGTCAACTTGCAAGTATTGACTTACTCAATATTTCTTTCCTCGTTGTAACTCTGTTACTTCTAGTAGCTTGCAATTTGCGGTGAACATGCAAGCGACAAAAATTTCAACTGGAATATAACGGAATGTAGGACTCTGTTACAAATTCCGGTAATGACGACCCGATGTCTACTGCGGAGTTGCAGATCAAAGAGCTCAAGTAATCGATTTCAAACGCCTTCCGCATTTAGGACAAATCAATACAAATATGAAAGGTGTTACTGAACTATACTATTTACTATTCTTCTCCGACGCTTCGAAGATCTTTTACTACATTTTTAGTTATTTGACAATTTAGAATGTATAATAGATATATACCTACGTGTAGTTGCCTAGAAAATGCTAATAGATCTACCAACATCAGCGTCGTATAATGTAGGTTCACACTTCCAGATCGTGTCTATTATCGTCAAAATTAAAACCGGTGGAGCATGAAATCTGCGTGCTGACTAGAGTAGACACGTACATAAACAAAATTATTGTACAACAACAGAGGAAATCGACAAATTTACAACGTTTACGGAAGCATTTATAACATTACGATGGCCTGAGCCGAGGATCCCTAGCGGTGCCTTCAGACTAAAGTCGTATCCGTCAGGCGGGAGTTGGCCTTCAGCCGCTCCATAAGTCCGTCCACGGGTTTGGAGTACCGTCTGCACTCGTTCCCAATCGCCCGGTGAAGCTGTAAAGACCAACAGCATTAGAATAGTCCGAAAAAAAAAATTGTAAGATATTTTACTTGTCTGTCAAAATTCTTACTTTAGAATTCCTCTTATTTATCCAAATAATAGGAGAGAGAACTCGAAACTAATAATCCTAAGCTAGCATATTAATAGTAGGCTGAATCTGAATTTCAAAAGAAGTAACGAGTGTGCCTGCACTGTAACAATAAAGGACTGGTCAGAAAACGCTAACAAACCTGGTTGACTTAGTTAGAACCGAGTGTTATGCGTATTTTAATGATAATATGTGAGTATTAGAGGTCGCATAAGAAGACTAATATAGGTACATTTACCATAACAAAAAAACCTAATAAATGGTCACTAACTATTTGCCACGATCTTGTCTGGCTTGGATTAGATAACGGATAACCTATCTCTGTCCTCGTGGATCAGCCGTTTAGTCGTGAAAAAGTAAAAAACAGATGGACAAATACGCATACTCATTTTAACATCAGTATTAGGACATACATACCCACAAAATGAAGCGCACAAAATGAAATACAAAATTGTAAGTACGATATAAAAACGTGTCCCTATGAAATATAAGTTGGATAAGACAGTAAGCCTAAAAACCTCTATAGACTTAATCGTATTAGAATAGAATAGAAAATCATTTATTCAAATAAACTTAATTTAAGCACTTTTGAATAGTCATAACAATTTGTTTTTTATCAATTTCGGAAAGCTTTCTTGTGTGTTGCTCTTTTAAATAATCTTAAGTTTACATTTACTTTACACACTACCAACAAGCACTAGAAATATAAAATTGTTAAATCACGATATAAAAACGTGTCCACGAGTATGAAATATAAGTTGGATAAGACAGTAATTCCACACGACCACGTCAAAAAAAATTACTATATGGTAGTTACAGTACTACGGATACATGCGGCAATCAATATAAAAGTTATCTATATCAATAGCAAAATTATAATAATATATATTGCCATCATCTATAAATTCATCTATTTTATAATAGGCTTAGTTATCTAGCATAGGAATAACATAACTACATTGTATCTACTTTATATATACTGTTTGCGATGCTGTAGCATGGTGCGGGTGACAGTTACTAATTTTCCATTTTATAAATGCTACATTTAAGTTAAGACATTTATTAATGATTTAATATATTATGAATGTGGTATAGCTGAAATATTAAGTATTTGGTAAATCGCGGAAACGAGTGAAACGAAACATTAATGCAACTGTCACCTGCACCATGCTACAGCGCACATGGTACATAGGCTCATAAATTGTAGTTAACGTATTATTTACATTTATTATCTATGTTGGTGGCTGGGAATATTTGCGTTAGGCGTAGTCAGTAGATAATATTGCAAAACGACTTTATCTTGTCTATCGTTAATACTAAATCTGGCAGTAATCGATTTATCAATGGAAAGTATATGTCGATTTCTGTTATTCTCAAAATTGGCGGTCATAAACAATTTAAAATGGAAGAAAACTGTATTCCAGTTCGATGTAGGTATATTGTTTAATCCAAACTTATTTTATTTATTTTATTTTTATTTATTCTTTAATGCACAATATAACTTGTACAAAGGCGAGCTTAATGTCATATGGCATTCTCCACCGGCTAACCTTTAGGTATACAGAAAGCGTTGTGGGGCAGTTATGTCAAAAAACAATCACAAGGACTTATTTTAGTTCTACATTATTTGACTATGTAGGTATATAAGTAGCACCATAGATGTTGTGTGACATACGTGTTACCCGTTATGCATTAATTAGTTAGTACCATGTAATTTCTCTGACATAGCTCAACTATCAAACCAAGACAACTTACAAAGCAACCTGATTACAGCAGACGACTCTTTACAAATTATACCATAAAGTAGTAAATTGCTTTTCACTGCTCTTATACCAAGTCTATTATTCCCCTTTGCAAAGTAATTCCTGGAAAAATAAAAATAAATATGACTGGCCCGGGCCAATCTATATTGAGCTGTAAACCTACTTTTAACGAAGAAGTTTTCTTAAGGACTGTATATTAATAATTTTAATACGAAGAGAAACTAAGGTCGCTGATGGAAAAAAACATATTTCAAAAAGTGAAAACAATAATCGAACAACAGAAAGAAGGTATTTAAAATGTAGGTATCTATATATAATAAAACATTTGAAAAGTCTAAAAATATGCGCCGTGCCCTACTACATCCAACGATATTAGAAAATTTCGAAAAATAAAAGCATGAAACACATGTGGTTCATAGTATCATAATATTCTTTTAAAAGTGTCATTCAAAAATACTAAATCTTTATTTAGCTGTGCCTTTGTTTTCATATAGTGACGTTTGAATTTAAATAATGTAATTTATTGGTACAAAACATATTAGCACAGTTAGCAGACTAGGACTTCACTTATTTGTACAATTCATGACTTTGGTGGTTAGTAGCCTAACACAGCAGGTACTTTTAAGCGCAGATTCAATTCTGGCACATTACAAATAATTTTATTTGGATAATAATAAAGTTTATTTTGATCCGAGTTTCTTCTATATAAATATTACAGTATTTTTTTAAAAAATGCATCTTACATCATTGTATAAATAAATACATTTATTTAGAAATCAATTATATTTATACAATAATGTTTTTACATGAAAGTACATGACTTTATGTAGATATGCCTATCAGTTATCTAGTACGCATTGTGGACTATGAACTTACCTATGGTATACGTACAAGCTTAGGTTAATATGATACTAGATGGTGCTGTGTGATCTGATCTATGGTTGTTTATTTATCACATACCTAAATACCTATAGGTATTGTCATATATGCGCCTATTAGTAAGTCCGAAACTAAGACTTGATTTTCATTAGTAATCTTACTAAAATTATAAACCCAAAGGTTTGTGAGTAGGGATAGACGGATCTTTGTTACTCTTTGACCCAAAACCTACTGAAAGAATTTTGATGAAACTTTTGAGTAATATAGCTTATAATCAGAATAACACACGCACACATCATAGACACTGTCAAGTAGGTGTTATGCAGACAGAGTTGTGCGGGACATTTCTTTAATCCTTTATATTTTTTTAAATATGATCAATTTTTTAGCAGTACTGTTGAAAATATCATATCACAGATAATAAATGAATCATACAAAAAACTAAAATAATAAATCATAAAACTATGTCCATTCAATTTCGTCATAATATACTTAAATATAAAAACATTTCTAAATGTTAAAGTAAATACATATAAAGTATGATTAGACATAATGTATAAAGAAATGTTGACAATATAAAATATAGTTAATACTTACAGAGGTGCCATAGGGAGTTTGGTAAAGTAGGATAATAAATTAATCGTATTGAGTATCTATAGATATACTTCAATAGGTCAAGTAATTAATTATTTCTTTAATATCTTCCGTCTATAAATATATGAATTATACTATATTATAAACATCGAAATAATTACCGGATCATCTATTATTATCTAACGCGATTGATTGAGATCACTTTCCCTAGATTAACGGACAATCGCACTGTTACATAATTTAAAAGATTTTACAAGTAGTATCATATAATTGCACAGTAACAATATTTATCTTTAAAAAAATCTTACGTAACAACTACAATCTAATATTAAAAAAAACTGCAATGTATACATACACATAATAAAATATTACATAATATATTTATAAATAAATAAATATGTATAATTGTTTAAAGAATTTGTCTACTGAGTGTGTATTTAATAGGTAGATGTAGGAAGCATGCGTGGTCATGTCATTCTGTGAATATTAATAACAACAAATTCGCGATCAGAATAAAAATTCTGCTGACTGCCAAATTAAAAATACATTAATCTTGTACTTACCAACTCGTAAATTTTAAATCAAATGTATTGTTTTAAAGTAAATATTGGGTAGATAAATTAAATATATCAATATTTTAAACTACTTTGGTACCTACCTGTTCTTAAAATACAAGTCAATTGTAGTGAACACTTACCTACTGGTTTAACTTGATAATATGATATTGTTTTTGATAATATTATGAAAATAATTACTTAGTATATATTATAATTGTAATATGCTAATTATAATATAACAAATAACAATAATTACCCGTAAACTTCTGCGAGTGACACCTTGACAACCCCCAAGGTATTTAGCGGTCCGTTGAATGAATTAAGGCTCACTTGCCGCCTGTCTCTGCGTAAATATACCACATTATCAGTAACGGTGTTAGAAACCGGCCTCAGAGACACCGGGTGAAAGTCTCCGATCACAGTGTCAGACGTACACCCAGCGTCAAGTAACGAGCACGTCTCTTGTAGATTATTCGATCAATTTGTCATTTCACCGTTGTTGATAATAAACAAATAAACATAAGAGTGTAAGAGGACGAACGCATCATTATCGCGTGAATGAGACGCACTCGAGCCTGATCGACTGATAGTGGTGTGGCGGGAGCGCTGGCGCACCGGTGCGGTGCGGTCGGTCGACCATCAGTCGCGAGCATGCTGACAACGTGCCTCGTCGTAGCCCTGGCGGCATCGCATGCCGCTGTCTCCGCGGCAGTCAACTCTTCGCTGGATCTGGACGTGAACAACACGTTGCCCGCTGAACAATACTTCATTGATAAAATATTCGACAAATATGGATATAAAGGCGTCATTACTTTTGAGGTAAGTTGTATTTTTAATTTAAAATTCGCGCATTCAGGGACGCTCCGTTTAATTGTACGTCTATTCGCGCTTTATGAAATGTCATTCAACTACCGGTGCAATAATACAATAACTCGAGAATGTATGTGCAACTTTGTAAACAATAATATAGGTACTTACAGATAAGTACAGAAATAATTTTATGTTTTGATTATATTCTGTTGTCATAAAATCTAAATAGGTAATATCCGTATTTGTATTGATTACTTTCCAACCAAGCTTGGATAACAAGGGGAAATTTCCAGTTACCGATACGATTTTCTCAAACGCCTTTCCCTATTTCGTAAACGAAAGTTCATCGAACTTTATATGTAAGTTTACCACATACCTAATTAAAGTAACCTTATCATTATTTTGCTAGCTTATCTCTGTATTAATAAATTTAATTCTGTAGATCACCGATACCGTACCTGGTGGCTCGGTTACTATTTAATATAATAGTTATATTTACTGCACATTCTCATAATAAGAAACTATCTCATTGTTTCTTATTTTGACACTGAACAGTTTATCATCTATTCGAAGAACAAGTACCGTTTAAAATATTATATAAACAAGTTTAACAGCATTATGTATGTTATTAAACTGTCAACTTCCGATAGTTCCACTTCTACACCACTTCTACTTATAGAAATCCTGATCTGTAGGAGGTATAATTGCGGAAGGGGAAGTTGCAGATTCGAGTCCCGAGCGGGATGACTGTAGAGACAATGTAGACGCTTTCGTTCCGTTTAAATAACATTAATAATATTGTCATGTCTGTAGTTTCATCTATTTTGTACATGAATAGTAAAAAATTGTAAACGATTTCAATTATAATACTTACGTACTCTATTACGTGAATAAATACTGAGCATGATTATGACGTACACTATTTACTCCATAATGTACGTTACAAAAACTACTTCTCGTGTACCTACACCTACAGGTGTGGACATATTGTAACTTATTTATAATTAACTTTACCTAAGTCAGGAATGACACGCTCTAAAACATTTCAGCAGGAAACTCTTTAGCAACGCGTGGAGCCGTTTTTAACGATTGTATACAATAAACACGGTGAAGAACTCATTCTCCAATTCAATTTATCAATAATATAGTAATAGTATTATGACTGTTTGGGAATAGAACATATTTATTTTTATTTAATTATACATCCTTACAAATTAAAAAAAAGCATTGATCAGGGGCAAGTTGGATACATTTTTACGATAATCGTATCTTATAAAAGCATCAGCATTTATCCTTGTATCGTCTTACAAAATACTGCTTTGAAATTCCCTTTATTTAGATCATATAGATACCTACTATAATACTGAATTGGTTCCAATAATGTAGTTAATCTTATTTCAAAAATCAAAGTCAAGCTCTTTAAAACTATTCAGCAATACCAATTTGACACTCGAAATTGTAATCTACATAATTTCAAGTTGTGGAAGTCAAAAGTTTTTGATACGTCAACTTTCCAATCGTAACTAAATAAATATTAAGTTGTCTGATTCTTCTGCGGATCCCTTCACTTATCACGTACTGAACCTCCGAGCACAACCCTCTCCAAAAGCGGTTGAGCAACTTGGAGCTCTCTCATACCATTTTTTTTTTCGTACTTATTTTTTCAATACTATGTATAATTATATATCATTGGGATCTAGTACCGGCTTTATTCAACAATTTTTTTTATATCTTAAGATTTAAGACTTTCAAATATTTTTAATGCAAAAAGTATCAGAGTCCGAAAGTTTCCCACGTTGAATTTGATTCGTTTTAATAACTGTCGGTCGAAATCGCACTTACCAGTTTAACAAGTTATCCCAAATAAGTGTTGTATACTATAGTATACAACTTTATAAAGTTGTCATCGTTTCGCCGTTGTTGTCGCACAGTAGAATACTAAAAACTAGAAAGGGATTGGCTGTAATGTGGACTAATAACTCCATTGCTAGCAATATACCATGTCAGGCTGAACTCCACGTAGTTCCCCCTGGAAACCAACGTGATAAATTCCTGGTGACTTTAACACGATGGGCTTACTGACCGGACTTCGTGCTCTTCTTATCATCCTCCACTAGTGCACCGCCAACGTAAACAACAACATTCATAAATCATTCCATTATCATTCATAAAAAACCCGGCATGGCTATGACGAGGAACACCCTGAACGTTTTTTGTTAAGGATGAGGTGACCATTTCCTTTTATCAGTTCTAACATTAATATTCAGTTATTTTTCTGGCATTATATTAGTCGAGACTAGGTACAAAAACGAAATCACATTCGTGAATATTAAGTATGTAAAATACTTGATTTACTATTGATTGATAATAATAAAAACTTTGTATTATAACTTTTTTAATAACAAAGCCATTCATTAAATAACTTAATGAATACACATAACTAAATAAATACTTATATGAATAAAATCTGCTATTATACAAAAGAACTAATTAGAGATGAGAGAGATCTTTATATTCGTTAGATAAAAAAACTACTCTTTTTCAGACTTTCACAACAGACACCAAAATTAGCTTTTACTTATAGTTGTAACACATACTTTGGATAGGACACTACTAGTTTAACAATAATTACAATCGGTTCTGGTTTAAGGAATACAATAACTGTAATAATATTACGATGTGCTACACCATAACACAATTTTAACTGGGTTAATTAAAATTTTCTCGCCGTGGAATACACAATGATTAGGTATAACCAACTACTAATAAACGAGTACGTATAAATACGCATCTGTGCCCATTATTTCTAGATTAACCACCCAGTCCATTGAAGTCACGAAAAATACACTTTGGTTCGTATTGTTCTCTCATACAAAAGATAAACATAATATAGCATACATTGCTAACAGGTGTTTCGTACGACACGATACCCACCCACTTTTGCGCTCGTATCGTACTTCCACACAAATATATTATTATTTTTAACTACAAATGGTTTTATAAGTTATAACACTAATACTTAACCTCACTAATATTATAAATGCGAAAGTAAATCTGTCTGTCTCGCTTACACGCCAAAAGTACTAAACCGAAATCGGTTTAGTACTTTTCTATGGACCAAAAATCTATGCACCAAATTACGAGTAGATATAAATATATCTACTCGTAATTTGGTACATAATTGACTAGAAGTTAGACTATTGTCTCCTGCGAGTTACAATACTCCAGGAGTAACGTTCGTAATCATTCCAAAGTTGAAAAATCCTAAAACTCTAGTACAGGAAAGGGATTGTTAATAATATGTATATTAACGGCAGGAGGAGTATGTAGTATGTATGTAGTAAGGAGTATGCTGAATGTCAAGAGATCAGACAGACTGAAAAACTACATTATCCGGAATAAAACAAAAGTTACAGGTATAAATTTGAAAATTAAAAGACTCAAATGGAGATGGGCAGGTCACATAATAAGAGGATATGATAAATGGAGTAAGAAAGTGACAAGATGGTATCCCAGGGAAGGAAAAAGGAAAAGAGGCAGACCCCACACGAGATGGGATGATGATATTAGGACAGTGGCTATTTGTGTGATATTTGGAGTAATGTGGAACAGAGTGGCACAAGAAAGAGAAGAATGGCAACGATTGGAGGAGGCCTTTGCCGATTGGCAAACAGATCTACAGACGTTAAAAAAGATCCAAATAATAGAATAATTATTACGTTTTAAGTTTTAAAGCTTTATGTTTGTTTTAAAATAATGTATAAGTTGGATCTGAATAAAGGCTATATTAATAATAATAATATTAACGGCTCCTTGCCAATATTGCTCTGTGTCAGGTCTACTTCCACGCCTCCTCTTCTTCAATCTCCACAGAGTCCAGGTAAGTCAATAACTTAAAAAAATCATGTAAAAGTACATGATTTTTTTAAGTTATTGAATCGATAGAACGAATCATGTAATGAGTTCTACCATATATAGTTTAATTTAATATTTAGTATAATGTTGCATGAACTTTTTAATTAGAGGACAATCTGTCTAAAATGCACAAAAACACAGCTAAACTTCTATGCAAGACTATTTTTATTCAATTGACTTATAGAATTGGTCACTACAACCTCTTTTTTTATTTTAATGAGAATGGAAACCGAATGCTCTCTCTGGAATGTCATTGGATTCAGCCAGTAATACATATATGTATGATCTGAAATTAAAACTGATAGACAAACGAGACATACCTACTCCGTTCGCCGTAAAAACGGAAATGCATTATCTCCGGCTGTTGTTAGATGTAAAGCTAAAGATCTATAGAACCTAAAGATCGTATTGGTAAATATTCAAAACCTGTTATTGTAATATTGAGATTACCGTGACCAGCAGTTTTGCAGCGGACATTTTCAATTATTTCAGTCTTTCACAAACTGTGTCATTAAATAATGAACGGCAGCAGTGTAATTACCATTCATGATATTTTAGGCACATCTTGACTATTGTTTACTTACTTATTTATGTATATAAACAATTAACGTCGCATAATTCGTCATACATTATATTTTATGTAGAGCTTTTACATACATAAGATATCTACACGCATTCTAATTGTGTAATTATTATTAATTAATCTTCAACAATAGTATTGTTCGATTCCATATATATTATAATAATTTTGAAATGTGGTAATAAATTCTTAGTACAAAGTAAATATAATCTAATAATCAGAGGGCTCATGATTTATATTTTCAAATCAAATCAATTCAAAAATCATTTATTCATGTAGGACATTTTTGCCACGTAAGAACGTAAATTTTTTTGTATTAACCTAATATTTATATTTTTCCCTACCGTCCTTAATTTTTTATGCTGCTGGGTTGGCAGACAAGCTGACGACTCATCACTGTATGGAAAATGATAACCGCTGACGATCCGTCACCACGACGTTATAATAATAATATCTCAGGACAATTCCCACTGAGCCATCTAGTCCTAAGCTAAGCAGAGCTTGTGTTATGGGT